ACATCACATCTTTCTCGATATGGATGCCACAGAGGGAGTCACACTTCATCGCTCTTGGTCCACCTTATCTTCATAATCGACAACAATGTATTGTGTATCAGCAACTCAGACAATAAAAGGAAGATTTGGAAATACTAGTGCATGAGATAATAGTAATGGATGAAGATATTTAAAGACATTGCTATTCTCCTGTTTGCTAATCCTCTTTTATTTCTGTCAATTAATTCATTTCGACTAATGTTTTCTTTTCGTATATTAATTCTTCGTTAATTGTTCTTTTATAATTAGTTTCTATCACTTAATTATCAAAAACAAAGATTTAAGAGACTTAATTGATTTGATGCGTTCTATTAGTTTCCAGAAAACTCCTTTTTTTTAACTGGACTGTGAGTCGGGCATAGTGGACATAATGGCTGTAGTGCGTCTGACGAGCGTATTTTGCAAAAGGTGAACCAAGAGCGATGAAGTGTGACTCCCTCTGTGGCATCCATATCGAGAAAGATGTGATGTGACTCCCTCCGTGGCACCCAATGTCCATGATGTCGATTATGTCCATTATGCCTAGTATGCCCACTAGAGAAACGGAATGCAGTTTTCAGAAATTGATTTGGCGTCCAGAAACCTATTGAGTTCCTTGACAAGTAATATAATGCATCATATGAATGCATTGCCCTGTGGAAATTATTTTTCATTTCTGGAAACTCATTTGGTTTGGGAAAGTCAACTATCATTTCCGGAAATCGAATTTTGACTTTTCGGAAATTCTGTTGTGAGGAAGTCCATGGACTTTCCTGGAAACTTATATAACGCATCATATGTATAATCCAGCATCAACAGATGATGATCAGGTAAGTTTCTCATTAATATCTTCTTTTGAATGAATAAATAATTCTTACAAATATTCATTAATTATTCTTTTGTTTTCTAGAAGAAACTTACCAAATTAAAATGCTTTTTGTTAATTCATAAATTGACATTATTCACCTACGATGGAGATCTTTTTCCACTTTTTACATCGAATGACAAATTTAGAAGAACTTTGTTTTTTGTGAATGATTGTGAACCAATAATTGATGGTACTACTTAAATAGTTCCTTCATAAACGAAAATCGGCTATTCTAAGGGATAATCTTGCAAGTTGGCAATAAGTCTTTGATATTCTGAAAAATGTTATCTATGAAATATGTGGAGCTCGATAGCCTGTAATTTTTTGCAAAGTTTCACGTTAGTACTCAATCGTGCTGTGACACAGCGTTGATCACACTGGAATATTAAATAGCCAAGAAATAACCTATACATGAAAAAAAGGAAGCATTTTAAAGTACGGAAAAGCACAAATGGAAACTATTGATCATAAAAAAATTTAAGAGCATCTATAACAGTAATATATATTCCTCAGAAATTATAACCAATATATGCAGTCTCAGCCCATTTTGATGCTAAAGTCAATCAGCATCTTTATATGCACCAGTTTTTTTCAGTGATATATTTCTATTTCATTCAAGTTTACCAATTCTGAGACAACGAAAGAAACCAAAATTGATTTATTGCTCCTTCAATTATATTAGCATTGATAATTATTTATTTTCTTCTAGCTTTTGAGTCTACAATTACATAAAATGACCATGACAACAAGTCGATTTCTCATATGCATATTCATGATTATTGATCTTTCAAATAACTAAATTTCTCTTTTATGTACACATGTTATACGTTTATTCGTACTACCATCAGTATATAGACGTTAGATTTTCAGTCAAAACAACTATATGTATGCCATGATAGAATGATCGTCAGAGAATAGCCGACTGTTTAAATATCAAACTACCGCCAATATAACTCACATTATACCGAATGGTTTACAGACAGTTTTTCTCCGATTCAGATCATACGTGTACTCAATCCATTTATTAACATCATCCATAACTGAATTATTCGAAGCTGTGCAGCTAAGCCACGCATTATATTGTAGAAATTCATAAAAGAATATGATTATCTGTTTCAATAAATGATATCAAATCTCATTTCTACTTTGTTAAAAGGAAAAAACAGCAGACTTCCATTCAAAAACGTGATGCCTAACTTGAATAAAGTCTTGATGATATCTTCTTATTTATTTATTTTTCTTTAAAAAAAACAACGTTTGGATGTTTTTCTTTTGTATCATTTACTCTCGTGGTACATCCACTTGACCGTTATTTATCTGATTGATAATATCATGTGGATGAGAACCCTCTACTTTGCATCCGACAGATTGAGCTGTGCCTATAAATAAAAATATTCTTATAATAATACTGACAATAATATCAATTTGTATATATTTACCAAGAATTTCTTTCACAGTTCCATCGAATGTTTTAGCTAATGAACGTGGTCGCATTACTCGTGCAATTTTAAATATTTCGTCAAGTGAAACATTACCATCGTGTTTAACTAAATAATAAGTAAACATAAACGAAATAAAAATTAAATAAAAAATTACTATTTTTTTGTTTCTTTCGATCACGTGGTGGTTCTTTAAGTGCTTTGATAACAAGTGATGATGCAGAAGGTATAACATCAATTTTAGCATTACGATTTTGTACAGTAAGTTTGACTGTTACTCGCATGCCTTTCCAGTCACCTGTTGCTTTAGCAATATCGTCACCAACCTTTTTTGGAGACTATTAAAATTGTAAAGCAAAGAGAAAAAAACCATAGATTGATTATTATGAAAAATACGATTTCGAATACTCACGAGACCAAGAGGACCAATTTTAGGAGCCAAAGATGAACCACCTGGTGCTTCACCGCCAGTGACACGAACCATAACTATAAATATCGAACATTAATAAAAATTAAATGGTTTATAGAAGATTAAAATACTTTCATAAACAGCTGTTGGATCGAATTTTGGACCCATGATGTTGACTACGTATGTTCAAAAACAAATATCTAAATTACAATAAACATTTAGTTAAATTTGACAAGAATAAAAAATTTCGAAATTATGAATTTATTTTGAATATAGTATATATGTAAAAAGATGCTATTTACACTTTTTTCAATGTATAAGATGGAATATTAAAACACGAATCATAATATAAAAATAAATGCGATCAGACAAATTGCATAAGATGAAAAATTCAATATTTATTAAACCCTTTTTTTTCAAAGCATTGTTTAGATCCACTTGAGAAAAATTATTATTAAGAAATTTTATTAATCTTTTTATTCTAATATAGAATATAGATGTCACTTTTGATCGATATGTGTTTGATACTACCTAACAGTGTAGAAATGATCAACGTGGTATGCACAAATGTTTCATTTTGTATAGTAAATTACAATATTATGTGTAATTTTACAGATCAATCATTGAAAAGAAACTAATTTTAGTTATAATGAAATAAAAGTGTAGAATAAATATTATAATAACGAATTGACCGAAAGTTTTGAAATAAAATAATTCTTCATTTTTGGAACGATGAAAATGGTCAACAGAAACTATGAAATATTGATTTAAAATCAAAAATTCCTGCTCATTCTGAATTTACGCTCAGAATATTTATTAGAATCATATTTTTTCGAGCTATGAGCAAATTCTGAAAGGCATGAAAATAGAACTTGGATGAAGACAGTAGCAAAGCTAAAACGATTGGTACACAGAGAGTACGATCGTACCACGTTTGAAATTACTACAATGGCGTTTGTCAGCAATTTTTTTTGACAATTATCATATTTCTGGCTTTGAGATGCCAATTTAATTTAAGTCTTATTTCCTTTCATTTGACTGCATGACGTTCTGAATAGTTTCTGAATCAACACTTAATAAACAAACGTTCTTCTCAGATGACATTCGCATTGTAGCATATGTTCTAATGGAAATTTTTCGCACAACATGAAGAGCGAGACCTTGTTCTACAAAAATACATTAAGAATCGAGGTTGTTGAAACAATACGCCACAGATAAATGAGTGCATTTTGTGAGTCTGAAAAGCATAGAACCACAAAAATGTCACTGCGTCTCTTGTCAAAACTTGCATTGTTGGTAAATGCTTCATGAGGAACTATCCATCAAGACATTACTTTGTAGAAAAATGTTTGCTCTTTTTTGCGATCTGAGGCTTGTTCAAATTTAATTTCAGTCCTTCCATAGATTCAACTATAGCTCATAAAAAATGAGTGTAATAAAAATTTCGAACTTAGATTCGGAAAGAACGCAACATTCTGATTTTAAATCAATATTCTATAGCTTCTACTTATCATCTTAACCGGATGAAAAATGAAGGAACATTTTAGCTCAAAACTTTTGTTTCATTCATTAATATAAGAAAGGTAATATTATGTTCATTGTAAAATATACTTATTCCACATCAAATCATTACAATATTGTAATTAAAGTTGTCATTTGAAGAAAATTTTATGTTGATCTCTTAAATATTACGCATGTTGTTCGGCTGACATATATTTTCCAACAACAAATCAATCATGTATTATTAAAATCTTAAACGTAGTATGATCTGCGTTATACAGACTCAGAAAAGAAGAAATCATTTTTGGTTTTATTTCAATGATTTGAAAGACGGAATGATTTCCTGTTCCCAAAGACATTTGAACAAAGCCTACACAAAAATGTCATGTGCTTCCGTTTTTCCTATCTTAGAGAAGAATATCTATACGTGGGTCAAAATGCCCTTAATATAAGTTGATCTTAAATTAGATACGAAAGATATATAGGAAAATCCTAAAGGCAACTAAAACTAATAATTAAAATATTCCGTTGATATTTTAGTTAATAAATGTTATATGATTCAATAATGATGAAAAAAAATATAAGAATCTTTTGTTTCTGCTTCTGTTTGAAAATGAATTCAATGATAAAGACTATTTTTAAGCAATATAATGAAAGCCTTTAGCATATTGATTTCTCTTTGTCTGTTTTTTATTTTATTAAACACTTTGATTAATATATTTCAATAAATATATATGTATGATTATTATTTGCTTTTGAATAATCTTTAATGTTTAAGATAAATTGAATTGACAATTTCATTCATGACTTCCATCGGTGGTTTTGTCAATTGTTTACGTTTGTATATTCTTGAAGATCTTCCTTTATAATTAAATTTTGGTCGTTTATCAAATAAGATAGTCGATGAAAGATAATCATCTAAATCTTCATCATCACCATTATAGATATCATTTGTTTGATCATCATTATTAAATCTTGTAAACCATTTTGGTATAGCTACATGATTATCATTAATATGAGACATTAAAAATTGATTGGCATGCGTGCGAGGTTGTGTATAATGCATTGATGACGATTGGGAAAGTGAATGTTGGACGGTCGGTGATAATAATAATGATTCACCTGTTGCTGATGTTCCTTGATAATCTTTTGGATTAAGCATAAGTCCATTTGATTCATAATTGATTTTATTATTATGATCAATGGATGTTGGTGAAGACGATATAAACGGGCAAAAGCCAATGAGAAGAATGATTATCGTCATGCTCATCACAAATTGCGATAAAAATGAATGCTGTCGAGTTGAAACAGATGATGACATCTTGGGAAAAACTCTTGATGATGCTTCGAATGATGAAAATTTTGACATACTTTATTAATTTCTTTGTCTTTTTGCTGTTGATATATTGAGTGCACAAGAGAAAAAAAAGAGGATAATCGATTAACTATCTAAAATATAATTAAATTTCTGTTTTTTCATATAGAAGGTTCCCTATTTATTTGTCAAATTATTAACTATGATACATAAATGTTAACTTTAATGAAAGATAAAACTAAAATAAAAACAACAACTTACGAAATTAATTTATTATCATTTTTTAAATGTTTAAGTAGCAGTGTCAAATTAAAAGTATACAACTGACGTATATTTTTATCATTTGATTTCTCTTATGGTCACCTATAAACCATTTTTGTTTTGTCTACTCACCACAACATAAAGATGATGAAGTTTCTTAGTGCCATTTATCAGCAAAGAAAAATATAGCTCAAATTTATTAATCTGTAGGGGTTTGCGAGAATAGCAGATGATAATAGTTGATTCACTTTTTGTCTTACGACGACTAAAATGAAATAAAGAATAAAAATTATATAGGAAGAAAAAAAAACGCTAAACAGAGTATTGTCATTGCCTGATCTCATATTATGCCAAAAAAACTTGAAGGAAGAGGAAAATACTAAGAAAACAACGCCCATATAGTTTTTCACTCAATTAAATGAACTTAAAAAGTAACGAGGAAAGTCACAGATGCCGAAATAAATGTTTCTTTTTAAATATATTCAAGTTCTATGATTACAAGAAAAAGATCGACATTAATCATTGTTTTTTTTTTGCATTTCTCATACATATTTGAATTTTTAACTAAATCTATGGTGCTGAACACAATAAAAAGAATATTTATTTATTGCATCTTTAACATAACCATTTTTACATGTAACAAATAAAGAAACCTAATTCTTCTAGAATCTTCTAACCTTTTGATTTATATCTAATATTCATCGGAGATATATAAGATTATGAAATTAATAAAGTGTTTAGGCAATGAAAGAACAGCAAGACTGATAATAATAAATATAATAATAATAATAATAAAAATTATTATTATTATTATTATTATTATCCAAAACCATGAAGAAGAAGTAATGAGGTTTAGAGCATAAACGGTATACAATTGCTTACATTCTATCAAACATTCTTAAGTTTTTTGAAGCGCATGTAATATAATATATATGTAGTGAAAGAAAAAAGTTAGTTACATGTATGATACAAGTCGTTTTTCTGTAAGAGAAAAGGAAGGTTGAAGAAGCGCTCTAAGATAGAGAAGAATAATTGTTTTCTGAGGAGAAAATCTATTCTGTTTAAAAAATAACTCGTATTGATCATAATTAGTACATGATGAAACAAACAGAAGTATAACAAGAAAAAAAACTGAAGCATAGGATAATCGAAATCGGCATGCAACAAATAGAAACCCGGAAACAACACACAGTGTCTCTAGATCTAAATAAGCTGATTAAAAGAAATACAAGAATTCAGACATATAAAATAAAGATAAATGACAATGAAGACATGCATCCAACAAGAACAATATTACAATGACAAACACTCTAGAGTCAACTCACGACTATTTAACTCGATCTTTTTTTCTTCTATTTTTTCCTTTTTTCTGTTTCAATGTCTCTCTAACGGAATATTAGTTTGTTCTGTCGAGAAAACACACAACTAAACATAAAGAAAATTATTTAATTTAGACGCAAACAAAAAAAAAATAATTATATTTTGCCCATTATCCTATTGTTATCTTCTTTGATCTCTTCTATATTCCATCTGTCTGTTGTTTCTTCTTTATTCTCTCTTCATGCTCATACAAATATAAACAACACCGGAAACAGAATTCACATACGTTCCTATATAGTTTCCTTTTTCAAAAACCGCGTCAATATGAAATAGTAACAATTAGTTAATTGTTTGGAAATGAAAGATACCCTGGGAATATTTTGTTAAAATTATAAAGACGAAATGAAATAAATCTGAACGAATTATTCGTACGAATACATGCAGTATGCCGTATTATTGTATTGACAAAATTGACACATTCATATTTATTTATTTATTTTTTGCATTTCGAAGAAAACTTCTGATATAACAAAAGTTATAATATTAATTTTGATAATATTTTTTTAAAAAAGAAACACATGCTTGATATAATATATCTCTCGAATAAATATTCAAATGTACGACGTGTTCAATTGATTTCCGATGTTGTGAGTACATGGGTTTAAGTTAATAACGTAGGCGAAGATATACATTGATTCATTTTACCAGTAGGTCTCATATCAGAAAGTCTTTTTTTCGGTGTACATGTTTGACCAACACTTAATAATGTACGTACAATAGTTACATCATGTCGATCTTCATTATCAATTAATTGAATAAAACAATCACGATTTTTTCCTTGAAATGCCTTACAAAATAAATTTGAACTATTCATATAGCATTCATGTACCATCCTTTGTCCAGCTAAACGTAATTTTTCACAATTTATTTTATTCATTGTATAATAGCGTAATTTAATCAATTTATTTGTTAAACATGTTGATATTTGTTCAATTAATTCTTGACCATTTTTATCAAAATTTAGTAAAGATTTTTGCATACGTGTACAATATTTATAACCCCATTTTAATATCCAATATGCTGATCCACATGGAAAACGTTCTTCAAAACATTGATAAAAATGACAATTATTTGCATGACCAAGATTAAGACAAGTTTGATTTATAGGACTTGTTGCGTGAATAATATGTGATCCACTAAATTTTATTAGAACTAGGCTAACAAAGAGCATGCAGTACATCATCCTATTACTTATGTTACTGATAGTATGATATCTATTAGTATGATATCTTTACTGTTGTTGCTTTTGTATTGCTGTTTTGGGTGCACATTAGGGCGTCAAAATAGTACCATCTTTCTTATCAAGAAAAGAAATCTTGCAAATGTCAAACAGCTGCGTTTCGAAAGCATTAATCATGAAAACTTAGAAAGAAAAGTCTTTAAACTTAATTATTATAGAATTCAGTTATACATAAAAGCTGTTAACAACAAGTTTTTATTTATAATTATTAAAATAAGCATACTTTTTATTTATTTTTAATATATATTATTCAATCCACCATAAGACGGATCTTTTTTGTGCTTATATTTTCGTAAATATATCTAAATATAGTTTGACAAAAAAAGAAATATGGCTGAGTATCGATGTCACAAAAAAGAAATGACTTGTAAAATAATCGTCTTCGACAGGATTTTCTTCTTATAAGAATAATAAAGGAATTATTATAAAATCATGATTGAAAAATACTTTTAATTAGGTTCTGATTTAATTTATTGTTGAAAAAAAAACATGATTAATTGATTTGTTTACAATTACTGTATAAACCAAGAAATAAAACCATACCATCATTTACAAATGTATTTAAAAACAAATAAAATTGTTATTATCATTATTCGAATGTTCGAATAATTTTAAAAATATATAAATCTCTTGTTTATATATTCCTTTTCACATGCATAGCGAATGAAATTTTTGCTTAACTCATATGATTTCTTCTGGGAATAAAAATACGTCATATTTTCATCGTCATATTCTGCTCGAATTGATATAAACCATCTTTCGTTTATTTATTCATACAAAAAACTATGATTGTAGTATGGATAAATCACATATTAGAAGATGTAGCATATTTTCTTATTTAATTTATAAAATTTATTTTTACTCTATCTATCAGTAGCCAAGTAAATCGTATTAAATTCTTACGGAAAATAGCTCTCGAATATTTTGATCGATTTAAACTATACTTAATATATGTTGATTCTTTTATATGAAAAGTAAATTAGCGGAATTAAGTTAAAGCTATGCTCAAGTTATTGAAAGTATATTTATAAATGCCATCATGTTTTTTAAATTAATAGTCATTTACTGAAACTTAAGCTCTATTAATGAACATTAATATCATCCATAAATTCAATTACAGTGAAGTATGAAAAATTAATTTCGCAGATAAAGGATTTCAACTATGTGTATGACAAGATTCTTTTTTCCTTACTTAAAATTTCAAAGTATTATTCAGTACTATACTATTGAACAATTACGTATTAATATGCGTTGTATAGTAAAGAAAAAAGACTTGATAGTATGGAATATTATTTGTTAAATATCTATAAAAAAACCTAAAGAAAATTCTAAGATCAGTATATTCAATTGAGTACGAACATAAATATCTTGTTCTAGTCTTTCTATACTGAAAGGTAATTAAGTAGAAATATTTTAATAACCAGTGAAAAAAAAACATGACAATTATTTGAAAAAAACGGAAAACCTAGTTTCTTTTCGCTTGATTTATAACTCATTTTTTTTCACTAGACTAAATTTCTATTTTGTCATATACAACATCTAATATTTCATTGTTTTCAATCATTCGCGTAGCCTTGTTAGAGTATTTAATTTCATAAATCTCATGTTTATAATTATGTTTTTCATGCAAGAATAATAAATTATGCCAGAAAAATTCTCAGATCTACCGATAAAAATTTTTGCTGATAAATTTGTCCATGTATATACTAATTTTGATTTTATATTCAAGCTGTTCATTGTAAACATTTACTGTTTGATATTTACATGGAAAATTGAAGAATGTTTTGCTTTATGCTGTAAGATGGAGAAAAGTAAAACAACATACGTTTATCTTAAAGCAATCACATGATTTTATTTCCAAATAAAGCAATGTTCTTCTCTTCTACTTTTTGCTCTCTATGTCATTTAGTAAATTTTATTGATGAATTATTCAAAATAATGTGCGAAATTAATACTCAAGTGTTGGATAGTAGCTCTAATTTGACAGAAAGAACAATTAGTTTTTGGAAGACAAAAGTTCCAAAAGACAATGATGTTTATACTCACCTGCGTCAATTTTATCAAACAGTGTTGTCCATTAAAATTCACATTGTTAGCATATTATGTATGAGATTAGTTTTTGATTAATTCAGATTTCTTAGAATGTCTCATGAAGATTTTGTGCTATTAAACCTTTAACGGATTTTGAATGAGGATAATTTCGAGACAGAACTTTTTAATAAACTTTAAGCAATAAATCATAAATTCCGATTATTTCTATGAACTTGTCAAGATAAAGCTGAGTCGATAATTTTTGTTCATATTTAAATCACTATTTATTCTTATTTAAAAAGAAAGTAATTGTTGAATATTTTGGATCGGTATGATATCTTGTGTAAGTTGTATTATCTAATTCATGTTATATTCAAGCGAGAACCTCTCGAGATGTCAAATCTCTTTTCGACTAAAACTATATTTATTTGATGAGTAGCATTAGGGAGTAATAAAAAAGTCTAGAATAATTTGCTTTTCTTGTCCTTCTTTCGTGATACATGGAAATTTTACTCAGTTTCACAACAAAAAGTTATCGTACCTCTCAGATCACTTGAAAAATTGACTTTTAAATGTCAATATAAATTTTCGCAAGATCAAACTACACAATGAGATTAATTCATTGAGTAAATTGTAACTTTTCTAGTGTCACCTATTCTGAGATATTCAATATTCGAAATTTCCCATGTGTAAAAGCAAATTTTGTTTATATATTCACACCTTCAAAAAGGAATAAAAGAAAAATTAACAGTTGCACAATTAACCAATCTCATTAAGAACTTTGTACGTGCAAAGTTCGAAGTTGAGACTTGAAAGGTAACTTTTCATGTGACTTGGTAGAATTGAAAAACTCATCAAAACTTCGATATTTCAAGAACGGAGATCCGGAAAACCAAACCATTCTAGACTTTCTATTACTCATCAAATGAACATTGTGTCGGTCGAAAAGTGATTTTACACTTGAAGATGTTCCCTCATTAGTTTATGTTGTTCTTTAGATGTTATGTGTAATTTTTGTTCTAGTAGTTTATTAAAAACATACAGATTCTGATAAATATTTTCGTTTCTTCAAGTTTATTTGCCATTGTCATAATTCATTATAATTCAAAGAAACCAATAAAAACGACTCAAATGTCAAATTCTATGAATTATGAATTGTTCTTATCATAATTAGATTAAAATATTAGCCTCGGAATCATCTATTTCTCACAAAACAAAACACAAAAACCTACTTTCTTTCTTTTTTAAATATTTTTATTATTTTCAATAGATTAATTTGGCTGTAATACAAACAAATCATCACACTGGAAAAAAAAATACATGAGAAAAAAACCAACATTATTACATAAATACAAAAAGAAAAAAAATAACAATGCACTTATTTTAAAGTTCATTTTTAATCTCATTTTCTTGTTTTAATAAATAATCATCACCAAAAAACTCTAATTGACTAACAAGAAAATTATATAATGAGTCAAAATCTCTTGAACCATTATATTCAACTTTTGATTCTCCGTAACGAAATAAGATAAGTGTTGGAAAAGCACGTATCTAATTAAATATATATATATATATAATAGGTTAATTAGTAGAATAAGATAAAAAACATACTCCATAATCTCGACATAAGGATTCACTTGCTGTACAATCCACACGTAAAATACGTATATCTTCATATTGAGAAAATTTTTGTGCAAATCGATTCCAAATTGGTGCTAATTTTTGACAATGTGAACACCATGGTGCACCAAAATTAACAAATGCATAACCTTCAAAACTAACTCCTTGTGTAAATGTTTTTGCATTAAGAAGATTATCTATCTAAGAAATTTATAAAAAAAAGTTTTATTTTTTATTTTTATTTATTTATAATTTACTCCAGAAGATTCTTCAGTTATTTGTTCTTGTTCATCTTGAACTACTGGTGGTGGTTCTGTAGCTATTGGTTTAGCTTGTTTTATTTTTTGTTCAATATAATTTCGCATTATATTTAATTCTCGTGCTCCTACATAACGATCTTTCTAAAAAGAAAATAAAAGAATTAAAAAACAGACTCATTGTGATATTAATTTTAAATTTATGAAAAATTTCTTTCAATCATACTTCAGCACCATTTTCGAACCAAATTAATGTTGGATAACCTTTAATAGCATGTTGAGAACAAAGACTCTTTTGAATTGTACAATCAATCTTAATAAATAAAATTTTAAATTATAAAAAAAATTTTTTAATTCAAAAATACCGTTCCAAATACTAATCCATCAGTATTAATCATTTGTTTAGCTAATTCTTGAAAAATGGGCATTAAAACTTTACAATGACCACACCATGGAGCAAAAAATACAATGAATGCAAAATCTTTTGATGTCATCTGAGCAAAATTTTCCGTTGTTAATTCCATAATAGCTGATTTAGTTGCAACACTATCTTCAAACTAAACAAAGAATAAAATTTTAAAAAATAAATATTTTATATCATCATTCTAACATACATTAACATCTTCAGCTAATTTTTCTCGATAGAATGCATCGAGTGATTCAACATGACGTGGTCCTTCATATCGTGCACCACTTCCACGCACAAATAGCTTTAGTCTAAAACATGATAAATAAATAATTAAATGAAATTATGTTATAACTAAACTTACGTTGGATAGCCGAATATATCATGATCAGAACATAGAAGAGCATTTTCGGAACACTCAATCTGTATAATTTAAATAACGTTTATATTATTTCAATAGTAATGCATAAAAACTCAGAAATTGAAGTTTCTCAATGGTCATGGAACTATCAGTCAAAGACGATTGGCCTTCATATATGACTTCATTAGATTTTGGGAACAAATTGTTTTTTTTCCGAACAGAACCGATTCTATCTCTGGACTTCACACATTAACTAGAAAGAAGTTTAGGAAAGTTTTGATCTATGATTTTCCCGTGCCGTAATATCTAATATTGTATATTTTCGTTAGCATTCAAGTGATTTCTTTGCTATTGTTTACTCATTTGTTTTACTTCATTACACTACAATATCGTGTATCCGACATTTAAGAACTTCTTTGAATGAGAACATTTAATCCGAAAATAATAATTGAGATAAGAACAAAAGTGAAAAAACAAAAATAATCATATATTTGTCATATATGTGGGATTTGGCATCAGTTGATGCATGTCTCACGAGAATCCAAGGCGAACGATTTTTTCGACTTATTTGGTCAGAGAAATTTTTGAGTAAAATTTTGATAAACTAAACGTTACATTTTTTTCAAAAGTCGATAATAATTCTACATATATTGAAATGTATGGATATTTGTTGAGTAAAACAATTCAAAACGTTTCATAGTCTAAAATCATAATGATTTTCGGCTATTAATGAAATTACATGACCAGAGCTGGGTAAAATACTCGAAGTACTCGTACAGATATTCAATTATCAAGCACTCTATAAGTTGAGAGATGTTAAGGTCATTTTTCCATCTCCAAAATATTTCAGGCTTGTTGCATTGAAATCATATCATGAGCGACTCCTAATACCACTGTGATGCTTTATTTCTTCACATCTCTCGATCAATTGTTCAAGTTGCATCCATTCCTCTTTTAAAAGAATAATCACATTTTTCTTGATCACGTAAAGAAGTGCGAGTCTGATGCGAACAATTGATTGAGCAGCGTTGTGAGTAAAGCTTTGCAATGTTATCGGTTGTCACCACTAGATTGTTTGATCACAGAAAAACTAAAATATTTTGAGAGCTGAAAAATGATCTTATCGCTTTCGTTCTTTTAGATAAAATGTAATAGATGAAAGTGACACTAGACACCTATTTTTACGCTTCGAAGTTGAAGCAAACAGGTGATTTCTTTCGACCTCGATCTTATCTTAAATTTCACCTATTGATATTTGATAATTAATACTGTCACGACGTTGAACACATTTTACCAAATAATTGTATTCAAATTTTCGTTCACAAGTGCAATTTTCACTGTACCTGTACTCGGAGGTTAGTACTCGTATTCATACTCAGAGGTTGATACTTGTACTCATACTCGAGAAAGTGAGTACGTACCCAGCTCCGTACATAATTCAGTGACTCTAAACAATAGATAAGAAAATAAATATCAAACTACACTCAAAAAAAAGTGTGATCGATTCAATGCGTTGAGCTCTACCTGGATGAATCATATCTTGTTTGCAAAAATATTAGTCATATAAGCGATCAAAACATACTCTAAAATGGAATTCGTCACGAAGTTTCATTAAACAATACAGATGGTTTATAAACACATTATTTTGTTTCATAAACATCTAACAATTATTACAAAGCCATGTGTTGAAAGACAACCTCGTTTTCTATCAGATTTTAAATCTCAATTTATAAAATAATGAAAAGAATAGCATCAGAATTGTTATATAGACAGTATCTTATAGAATCTTACTCATAACCAAAATATGAAATCAACTGGTTTCTTACGGTTGTAGATATTTTTTTTATGAACTTCGCATATCTATCCTTCGAAATTCAAAGATATAGATACAGCATGAAATGTGACGCATAAAATGCATCATATTAGTTTTGAAAATTTTTGAACTATGACTTGATCTAAAAGATATTTTAAGCACTGATCTTTGAAAAAATTTCCTATTTCTATAAAATGATTTATCTTAATTTTTCAAGTAAACATTTATGACACGGATGTCCGTGGCGGTGCTGTCGTCACCGCGACGGCGTCATCAATAAATTTCTAGCCACCATCGACATCTATGATTTGCGCTGAATTTTTAAAATGAAACTTATCTTACATCAGCTACATGAAGATCAGTATTCTTTTTCATTTCAGCGAAACGTTTCCATGTTGGTTCAAATTTTTTACTATGTTGACACCTACAGAACAAAAAGAGAATAAAGATAATGAAAAAAAAAACTCATAAATTATATTGTAAAACTTTTACCAATTTGAATAAAATCTTATAAAAGTAACATGATTTTGAAGATATTGTGAAATATTACGTGATGCTAATTGTATAACGTCACATTGCACATTTATACAACAATAAATTAATAAACTAATCAACAGAATCTTCTTGGCAAACATTATCTATATTTAAAACAAAACAAAAACGAATTACATATTAAAAAAAAAAAATTCAAATTCAAATTTAAATTCAAATTTATTTAATTAATGAAAAAGAGCCAGTAACAAAATTAACAAAACAAAAAAGTAAAAGAAAAACAATAATCGTTGGACATGTTTAGAATCAAACACAAAATGGAATCATATGTTAATGCTTTCTAAATATTTATCATTGTCCATGAATAGACAATATCAATAGTAATAGATCACTATGCATTGAGAGAAAAGAATAAAACAAATAGAGATTCAATAAAACAGACTAAAAATACATCACAAAATGTATCCGTTTATTTTTATCATTGATTAAAAAAAAATTTTTTTTTGACTTTGATTTTTCTAATTTTCCGATGATTGATCTTTTTGATTTTGTTCTTGTTTTTGTAATCGTCTATTTAATTGTTCCGTTATTTTGAAATTACGTTGTGTTAATACGTCATTTTGATCTTTAACTTTTTTTAATTCTTGTTGAAGTTGATCAAGATCTGATGTTTCAGTTTCATTTTGTACAAGTTGATCATATTTTATTTTTAATTGTCCATATTGTTGGATTTTTTCTTCTAATTTTTCACGAGTTTTTTCTAAATCATCACGTTGTTGAGTTATATTGTTCAATTTAGTATTTAAATTTTCTTTAAGTTCATTGGATTTTTTTTGAAATAGACTTAAATCTTTATCGATTTTTTTATATTTATTTAAATCTTCAAGCATTTGTTCTATTCGTTCTTGTTTTTGGGCATCAGCTAAAAACAACAAAGAATAACAAAGCATCATTCATACAATGAAAATACTTACCTTTTTTATATATTTCTGCTGCATGTTTTCTAGCACGTTCACCATCAGCTATTTCTTTTTCTAAAGAACTATTTCTTACATTAATTTGTGCTAATTGTTCATCAAGAATGTGTTGTTGTTGTTTAAGTTCATTAATCGTACCTGGCATCATTGCATATGTATGTAATTGATGAGCTAAACGTGTATTTTCATCGGTTAATCTTTTAAGTTGCATTTGATATGATAAAATTGTTTGTTGATATGGTATCATATTATGATTTGATTGTTGTAAATGTTTTATTATATTATTCATTTCAACACTAGTTTTAGTTAATTCAAGTACATGATTTCTTTCTATTTGTAATTCAACGGCAAGAATTTTTGCTTGACTATGATATGTTTCTTCAATTATACGTTCAATAGTTTTATCATTTTTTGTTTTAGTTTCTGATATATGTTCCCAATCTTGTTTATTTAATAATTGTTTAGCGGTTAGTTTTTTAAAAATTAATTCAATGTCATTCGATGAAAATGGAGTATTATCCAATATTGAAATTAATCTATCTAATAAACTATTTGATGTTGATCTTGAATGTCTTATATCATGTCCGTTTAATAAATAGTGAGATTCAGCTGATGTTGATGATAAATAATTATGATTATTGCTCGTGAGTATTGTTGATGGTGATTCTATAAAAGTAGAGAAATTTTATTAATAATAATTTTGTGAAACACGATTTTAAAAAAGCGTTGAAGATTACAGAATACAAAATTTGCATCCATGCTTATTCAACAGACCATGATAGATACTATCATGAAAATGTCACAGATCGTGACAGATATCTTAGCAATATTCGCCTCGCCTGTGTGACAGATCATAACAGATATTATGTATATATGATTACAAGCCGTGACGATTCCCTTACTAATATTACCTTCACTCCTCACATCACTATTTGTGACAGAATGTTATTTACATATGATCAAAGATCGTATATTAATAGCGTATCGTTATAATATTCAAACTACTTTCCTACTGTATTTCTGGAGAATAAAGTAAAAGAATGATGAAGAAACGTGTTCCAAAATAGATAATATAAAATAATCTCTCCGATTAGCAACAGCAAATAAACCGTGTTTCACATTTTAATGAAGCAGGTTTGTACTAATAATTATTCTTTTGTTTAAGAAAATTCCTACCTGATAAATTGTCTGATTCTGATGAATATCCATCGCAATTTGATGATTCATGTTGACGTGATTGTAGAGATAAATCGAAGTGAGTATTATTATTGATTAGTTGTTTTGATGCTAACGGTACAACATTATTCTGTTTTGTAGGTGAATCATATTGAATAGATGGTTTTTTTGTTATTTGTGTTGTTGCTTTTTTTCTACGAAATTTTTGTGTAGTAAATACTTCGTTGTCTTGTCGTTCTTTTTGAAATCTTGGTGGTACAGAACCATGATCAGAATATGAATAGATGTTATGTGATGATGATGATAAAGTTTCATTTGACTTAGAATTTTCAACTTGTGGAATGTGAGTAGATTCGATATTTGTTGTAGCAGCTAATGGAAAAGTTTGTTTAACGGGTGCTACATTTGCTTGAGGCTTTGATAAGAGAATAGATTCTTGTTTTGATGATATTGGTGGTATAGACGAACAATTTTTTGTATCTGAAGAGATTGAACTTTGTGTTTTACTATTAATATGATTACTTTTATCTTTGTTGTGTTGTTTAACTGGTAAAATTAGTTCGTTTTCTTCTTCAATAGGTGTTAGACAACAAGAGATTAATAAATCTTCAGTTATAATTGGGTCTTGAAATTCTTCGTCTTCTTCTTGTTCTTCATTAGTTTGTTGTACAAAATCTTCTGTGAAGGGTTCTTCTTCTTCTTCTTTAATCTTTTCTTCAGATATAATTGTTTTCTTTTCTTGTTCATTTTCGTTTTCATTATCATTATTACTATTCAAATTTTCGTTTGCTGCCACTGCTGCTGCTGCTTTTTGTCGCTTCTTATTTGCATTTCGTGCATGTTTTCGACGATTATTATTAGTACGATTGGACTGTTGTTGTTGTTGTTGTTGTTGTTGTTGATTTGTAGTATTAGACGGAGATTGTTGTTGAGATGTTTTTACATTCGAATTAGGTCGTCCAAGAAAATAATTTAAAGAACCCAAAAATAAAACAATTATAAAAAATACAAAAAGCCATAGCAGAGCAATTATTAAATCCATGAACAGACCAGTTCGCTATCTAAAATTGAATTTATCTGATTTAAAATAAATGTACAAAGAGCATACTTATTGATTTTTTTATTTCCAGTATGTTCGATTATGACAAATGATGAAAAGAAATTTGAGCGTATGGAGAAAAAAAAAATGTCAGATATAATACGTAAAAAGAAAGTGAAATCGAACGAGCAAAAGTGTGTATGCGTAACAAGCAGTGTATGACATAAATAGATTCACGACTGTACAAACAAGCACGAAAAAAAAAAGAAAGCAACGACACAAAGGCATGTGCAAGTTTTGTCATGGAGAAAAGAAACGAAAGAATGCATAGACAAAAATGCTCCCACAGTTTTGAGCACATTTGCATTATTGTTTTTTTTTGTATTTGCAGAAGTTGATAAATTTTGACATCGATGATGGATATTATGTTAAACATTCAGTAGACTTTATTAAAATTTGTTCAAAGAAAACATGACATTATTTTTCTCGATGTTATATGCTTAAATCCACAAAAGAAAGCTTGTTAGTACAATCATTTTGAAGCTGAATTGTGAAACTCACACATCTTCTTTAGTCTCATTAAACTAATATAAAATAAATAAAGTAAAAAATCTCTCGTAGACTACAGTTGTTTTCCATGATAACCGATCGCCAGAGTAAGGCTCCGTTTTATTTATTTCTACATTTGGAACAGAAGTTTTTCTTGTTTTTTACGCAAGCCTACATTTTGTTTGCATCGTTGCTCTTCACTCGTGACTTTTCTTTCACGTACTTTATTTATCTTAATTAATATTGTTATCATCATAAACATTGAATTAAATGGAAAATAAGTTTGTTGTAAATATCTATTATATCAGCAGCTGCATATCTGAATACACCTATTATATATCTCGATAGATTAACAAAAACAGGGCAGTGATTGTATTTTAAAGTTATAACTTGTTCTTCACGCTTCTTATGTTGATTAAATCATTACCATAGTAAAACGATTTATCACTACTCGTTTTCGTTGACATTATAAACATCAATTGTTCTCTGCACAAATATCAAAAACTGTAATATTGAAAATATTTACAAATGTACTCAAGTCATCGAAATTTTTCGAATATTCTAGACTTCTGGAGAAGGATTCTGATACCGGTTGCCATCTATTGCTAAAGAATATGATTGACAGGGGGTTACCAAGGTCTATAATGGGAGGGAGGTCGCCAAGGTCCACAATGAAAAGGGGCCGCTATGGTCTGTAATGAGAAAGAGGATGGGAAGCCAGAGAGCTGCAATTTAAAACTTACACTCACTATTTTCAAAGAAAATATATATTAGTTCTACAAAATAAAACAATGAAAACCTTCCATCTAAAAAGACAAAACCTTCAATTATTTCAAAATATCAATTCATTGAAGAAATTCCTATAAGTTTCATATTTCGATGAATTTTAAAGCTTTATATTCATTTAGCGAAACAATTAAATATTGACAGAAAAATGCTGTAATGGATGTGAATCTCTTAGCCGTCTAACTATGTAGATCGACGATAATGATTGCCAGATTGGAATGCGAACGTCATTTGTTATGAAATTACGTTCTGTATACATAGATGAACGTGACGAAAATGTCTATGATGTGAAAGAAGATAGGAAAAATCTAACAATAGTGATGAGAGCGAAAAGAGGAATCTAGATGACAAAAAGAATATGAAGGTGAAAATCCCATATGTGATAATGCAGAGAACAGAAAGGAATAAACTTGAATTTGATCGAAAAATGAAAATGTCGAAAGACTTTGAATGAGATAGAGATAGTTGTTGTCTTAGTTTTATGATAAAGACCTTTTATTTGAGTATTAGATCTATAATAATGATAATTTGGCAAAAAAGTTTTTAATAGTAAAAATAGCCGTGCAATACTGTTAGTGTCATCTTCCTTCTAATGCTATAAACAATATCATTACGGTGTTCAATTTCCCTGACTTCAAATAATGCAAAGTTTTTCTCAACATGATCACTTTCGACATTTTTACTTTCGATATTTCTATTTTCAATATTTTTATTTTCAACATTTTAAGTTCCTACATCCTTATTTCAACTTTTTTTTTTTTTTTTACTTTCGACGTTATTCCAGTGAATCCAGAAAGGGTAAAGTCGGTATGTATAAAAACGGTCGAAACAAAAAATATCGAAAGTGCTATTAATGTAGTTTTAGTACACAATATTCACCTGTAAGCACAGGACATAGATGCTGTTGCAGATAATTCATATGGTATTGATGAAAGCATGTGCTGAAGCTACATTAGTAGCACATTTGATATTTTTTCTTTCAACCTTTTTTATACCATTCATAAATTTCATATGAGATGAAAGAAAAGAAAAAGTGAACCCACTATGAAAAAAATATCCACTGGCATAGAAACATCACAGAGCGAATCTTAGTCACTTCTGTAACAAATCCCAAACAACCGAAATAATTGTAAGAATTTTCTTTAATCATTTTTTGTTTTCACTTCGAATATATTTTACGATTCATACGTAAAAAACAACAAAGACATGAGACACTGATCGATCTGAAACGAAAAAAAAAAGAAATTCTTTTTTTAAATAAAACAAAAATATCTGACATACAAAACCAAACTTAATCTATTTATCTCTACATTAAAATATTAAAAACTTAATCTGAAAATAAAAAATTACGAAAAAAAAAAAATCTTTTATTATTTTTTTAAGACGACTTTTATTCTATTTTAGGACGATATAAATGTGTCAAAACGAAAAAAAAAACGAACAGAAAGAAAAAAAAAAACTGTTTTTTTATTTTAATATATAGAATATCGTCTCGTCGTCGAACAGACAAAGAAAAAAGAAAAAGAACAAAATAGGATAGATCAAACACCATAATGAATTTGAAGACGTTGTTTGAGTGGTAAAGGAAATCGATCTGTTAATTGTTTCCATTGATCACTACCAAATTCTTGTTTAAATGTTTGTAATATAATTCGAAATTTTGCATGTAATTCCGTAGGTGGGTTTTCCCATGATGCTATGGCATCACATACATATATAAATTCATTTGTAACAGCTAATGGATTTAATATAATCATATTACAAATACCACGAAATGCTGAATCTTTTTCATCATTATCGCGTATATTACGTAATGCAACACACCATGGACGTATAAAACGTTGTAATTGAGATGATACATCATTTGGACAAACAAGACCTAAACGTCCTATTGTTATTGCTGTATTTTCTAATAAAGTTTTTGGTGTATTATTTCGATTAATAATTAATATTAAGGATTCAAGAATAATTGAAACAAATGGTTGAATTTCAGAACCAATCTGTATAGCTATTTCACCTATTGCCCATATTGCATTATTACATACACTAACATGATGTGGATCAAGATTTTGTGTTAATAATGGTAAAAAGATATTTAAATGTTTACGAACATGGCGAAAACAAGCTTTTGTCAAATCACCTAATAATGCAAATGAACTTTGACGAACTTCAGCCATTGAATCTTGAGCACAACGTTCAAGTAATGATAAAAGATTTGATCGTTCAACAAGAGAATCAATATGAGCACCTGAAAAGCAATTCATATTAATATAGACGAATTAATAAACAACTTTAATTAATTAATAGATGAAATATAAATTCAAATCAAGATCATGATCAATATTTACAACTGGTTATTTGCCTACTGAATTTATGATTTATATCAATTATTGAGTTAAATAGTTTTTCAATGTCTCGAAAATATTTGTCTAGTAAATAGTGTTAAATGTAAGATTTCGAAATATTTGTAAAAATCTTTATCAAAATTTTCCTGTTCATTCTTTGAGACCTTTCTTAAGGCAACTATTACTTTTTCAATGATTTTTGACTACACAACATAAATGAATATATGTATAGGCTGCTAGAAAAAGACTTCTGCTATCTAATAATGTATGCATTATAAAGTTCTGTTCTGTTGCGTATCGTTGACATGTGAACAAGTGGCACCACCTATCGACATATCAACGATCTGCATGCAGTAGAATCTGATAATACATACATCATTAGATAGAGAAATTATTTCTCTACAAGTTTATGTCTATTCTATTCTGTAGTCGACAGCGTATAACTGCTTTTTAATAGTTTGTTTTTCCTTTCAAGATTTTTACTATTACTTTGTATTGTAATTCAAAGATGTAAATTTGAATTCTATATTCATCTTCAGATTTTGTTATTTTTTTAAATAATTTTCCACACTCGTATTAAATCTCATCAAAAAAATCATAATGAATTCAATTTAAGGAAATATAAATATCTTGTTGAATATATAAGATTATCTATTTATTCTTTTGATTTTCAATTCTCGATATGACTATTCAATCTGTGTAGGAGCTAGCATTAAGAGAAAAATTTTCTTTACCTAAACCTTCAGTTAAACCAGAAAGTAAATCAAGTGCAACAATCATAAAATCTTTGTCTGGTGATGTATCTGGTCCATTAACTTCTAATGTTTGTTGTACAAGTAGAATACATCGACCAAAGACTGGTTCACAATAAGGTAAAAATCCTGTTTGTAATGCTGTTGCAATCGATGAAAGACATTCAAGTAATGGAAACAAATCTTTATCGTCATTTCGTAATAAATTCCATCGTTCAATTAATGGTGGCATTAATAATTGTATATAATCAGGACGATTTAAATGTGAACCAACACTATCAGCTAATGTTCCAATAGCATCATAAAGTATTAATAAATTTTTTGCTTGATATTTACGAAAAGCATGTACTAATGTTTCAAGAATTTGGTTTAAATAAGGTACCATTTGTATACAAGCTTCTTCTTCTAATGTTGCAAATGCACTACAAGCTGCTTCTTGAACCTAAAATATTTAAATAAATAAGAAAATAAAAGGCTATATGTTTTCTTTTGTTGTTTACTTTTTTATTTGCATCTAAAATTTTTTTAAGTAATTCCGACATTAACGGAACAAGAAATCTATTTTGTTGTACTTCATTATGTGCAATCCATGATGAATATCTTGATAATGTCCAACATGTTATTGAACGTACTAATGGTTTTTTATCACTAAGACATTTTATTAAGTAATCAACAAGATCAGGTAAATGTGGTGCTAAACCATATGAACAACCTTCAGCTATAGCACCTAATACAAGTATACCACTTTCTTTAATTTGCCAATTTGTATGAAATAACATTTCACGTAAAATAGGTAATAATATTGGTAAAATACCTTCACGAAATACATTTGAAAGAACATCAACTGCAGCTGCCGAACATTTACGTAAATTCCATTCTGTTGCTTGATCAACATTTCCACCTAAAATCATATAATTATTTTATCTGCATGTATAATTACAAAATATTTGTTACGAAAATGTGACGGAGAATATTCTCTTTAAAAATGTTATATTAAATATAAAATATATATTGTGAAATAATAATCATAAACATTATCAAACTTCAATTGATTCTTATTTTAACGTTATCTAACATTTTAATCAAAGTTGAACTTTTTATTATAGACTAAGTGATGTACTCAACTTCATAGGCAGACATTTTCGTTTATGTTTATAATATCAATGATATGATCTATTATTTTTTCTTATGAACTATTTTTATCATTATAACTTTGATAGAAAATGTTTTGAGCTTCACTTCAGAGTTATTATTTTTTTTTCTATAGAAGTTCAAGTAGTATTTTTAAATAACAGATCTGAGTTGAAGTGATTTAATCAGAGTTGTAGTTGATAGGTTTATATTACTTTTAGTCATATTCCTATTGAATTAATAACTTGCCAAGTGGAGTATAAGTAAAACGGAAAGTTACAATATAGGTGATCGGAGTCTTTGTCACATGAACAAAAACATTGCAATAACTTTTCTAAGTATAAATGTTAGCGAAGAAAACATCCATACCCACACACTACACATATAAAGCATTAAGAAACGTTACAATGTTCTACCCATGTAACGAAAAGTCATAGCACTATAATACAGATTACAGAAGTTGATACAAAAAGAATTCAACTATTCAAGATGAGATCGAATAGAAAATGGTCTTTTACAGTCAGAGAGTTACAGTATGATTTTTCAAAAATGCTAAAGTTGAAATTGGAGTGAAATTTGAAAAACGCAGATGAAGTTCGAATGGCACATAAATAGAATTGTCAATTTCGATTATATCAATACACTATCATGATAGAGTCATTATGCAAGAAAAAGAATCGATATTATAATAAATGTAATTCATATAATAATGCAAATGAAATACCTGATCCATCATCATCATCATCATCATCATCTAGGTCATCGTCGTCATCCGGTAGATGTTGATCTGATTGACTATTAGGTGGTGTAGCTGTTGTTGAATTATTATTTGTATCCGTTGCATTATTCAATTGATCAGTAGAATTATTATTATCTAATAAATTTTGTGCATATTGTCTTGTACGTGTTCGATGATGTCTTGGACGAATATCTTCAATTCGATCCGGTATATGTTCATCTTCATCAATATCACCTTGTAATATAATAATATCAATTTCTGAATATTTCATATTTTTACAAAGAACTGGTAATAATTTATCTAAATATGGTTGTAAAACATCACGACATATTGGTTGATCAGCAATCATTAACCAAAATTCACATGCTTCTAATGCAACAGCATCATCACTATCTTGAGATGTTAATAACATATATTCAATTATTTGTTGCATATGTGGAATTAAACGTTCAATACGAACTTCAACAAGCATAACTAATGCACGACAAACATGTTTTCTTACATCAGAATCTGTATCATTTGCTAATTGAAATAAATTCTCAAGAAATCGATCTATATTGGACATTAATGCTGTTGCACGTGGTGTTATAAATTCATTAACGCAACTAGAAACATAAAGATAATAATTGATAATTTTTAAATCATATAATAACGAATATTTCCAGTGATGATATATTGTTATATTAAAAGTTTTATCATTCAATAGAGAAAATTTTTTTTGTTTTTTTTAGTTTTTAATTTGAACTACTCTTTCTCGAAAAGTAAAAAATTAAGCATAAAACTGCTGCTCTCAGTAATAATCATTGAATATATTATGTTTACTCAGTTTTATTAAAAGTACATTCAAGGAAAAGATCTCTTATTAAATATTTCAAATTTCTGTTTGTCATAGATTGGTTTTCAAAAACAATTATTGCTTTGATCGCTTAGAGGTTGTTTTATAATGCATAGATATATCGAGTAGCTCAATATGTTTGCATCATACAATAGTTGCGAAACATTTCGCCACTAGATAAAAAGTACCTAAATTTGAATCTTTTTGTCTGATATTGTTACTAGAAATAGTGCTTAGTAAACTCTAATCGCAAGCACCTATCCGAAGATCAATCGGTCTTAATGTATTGGATTTAGAATAAAAACACTGTGTTTTTTTATTCTGAAACTTCAGGCAAAGCTTTTTCAACACTTTTCTGATTTGTCGTTGTTTTGAAGCATTGATTTCAAATCTTTTATTGACAAATAAAGCTGCATATGTCTAGACTATGTTACATATAAGAAATTCTAATGCGATGAAAATGTGAGGAACAGAGATGTTTACATTATCTGAGACGATTTTCGTATAGATACCTACTCTACCAACAGCTATAATTATGAAATTTTCAATAAATACTTAATTAGAACAAACAAATTACTGAAGAAAATTTCAAAGCAAGTGATTGAAAATAATCTAAATTACAGATTAGTTTTTGAGAAATTCCATCAACTTTTCATACTAAACATATCCGCGAATGAAAAGTCAAACGCTATAAATTGTTTTCTTAAAGTCAAAATATTCTCGTCTGATTACCAATCAAGTCATGATTGCTACTTATGATTAGAATCCAATGCACGGATTGGTGAACGATAAGGGCTGAAAAGTTAAGCACGCAAAAACAGGTAATGATAAAGGGTGCAAGAGTGCGGGCGAATAGAAATCAGTAGAAAACTAATACACACACTTATATGTATTCATTGATCTTTCAATAGACGTCATATTTGTTTTTGTGTGCTTAACTTTTCGATACTGATCATTCTCATGCTCATCGTTTCGATTCTTCGTTGTGCTTTATTTATGAGCAAAATATGAGATTAAGGAATTTTGTGTTTAGATACTTTTTACGCAATAGCAGAACCTTTGAAGACTACTGTAGTTTATTTTGCATATATCTCTACATCAATTAACGATATAGAATTTTCAAACATATTCAAAAGCAGAAAAAAAATCTAATCAAATTTTGTTTATTGTAATAGTATCATTATATTGAGAATTGACTTTTTAGATGATGAATTTGTCAGTGACTCATCTACTTCCTACTTATGATAAGAAACCGCAATTTCTACAGATTTTACTTTTTAGTTTTATAAAAAACACAAAGAAAAAGTTTTGAAAACAAATCAAATACAAAGGCTTTTTTTTAGTTATGATTTCTTAATACAGAGATATACATTTATACAAAATAATGTATATTGAAAATATTTTCAGTAATTTAATATCTTGAAAAAACTTACGCAATAGCATGTGATCGAATTTTCGGTTGAGAATGAAGAAAAAATTGTATAAATTTTGGTATTAGTACATTTAAAGGTTGTGATGGTGCATTTTCAAGTTGATCAGCACTATCTTCACAAATTTTTTGTAAAGCACCAAATGCTCCTTCACATAAATTAATATTTGGTGAATCCAAACATGTATAAAGATGTTCCAATAGAACAGGCCATTGTTCTAATGAACCTTTAGTAACAATTGTTGTTATTAATATTCCAACAGTTGCACGTATTAATGGTGAACGATCACCTAATGCTGATAAACATTCTTGTTTAATATATGATCGAACTTCATCAGGAAATTTTTCATAATGTGATTTAGCATTATTTTTTAAAATTAAACCTGATAATGAACGTGTTGCTTCTTGTTCATCAGTTAATTTAGTTAAAATATAAACAAGATATTTATTAAAATCTGGATATTGATTAAGTGATTCTAAACGTGCTTGAACTTGTCGTTGAATTTGTGTGTCAGGTGATTGAGATTGACGTAATAATGTTAAAATTTGTTCAAGACCATCGGCCTGTACTGGTTGCCAACTCATCATAAAAGATTTTTATTTACAAATGAAATAAAAGAAAAAAAGTAAAGAAATCCTCAATTTTTATGACTAGATGAAATCAAAAATAATAATAATAATAATAAGCAAATGATGAAGAAGAACTTATCTAAAATATTTTAAACATATACATTCGATACGCTGAAACAAAAAATAAATAGATATATTATATATATATTATTTGTTATAAGAATATATAATCATTCATTTAATTTGTGATAGATGTCACTTTATCATATAAAAAAATACGAATTGATTGAATTAAATAAAAAAGAATTTCTTTTTTTATTTTTTATTTTTTTTTTCTTATAAATAAATTTTTTATACACAATTGGTTAAATTATATAACTGTTATGTATCGGCCATCTTGAAGCTTTACTCTTTCGTTCCTTCGCTTTTTTTTTTATCAAAAAAATAAAAATAAAAAAAAAATTCTGTACACAGAAAAACCATTCAAATGTTAATGCATAATGAAAACATAACTTGACAATGGCAAATAATAATCGAACAATGATTCCATCATCTCAGTTACAAATAACAAATTCAAGTTTTATTAAATCTGAAATTGAACGTTTTGAAAGTGTTCATCCATCAATTTATACAATTTATGAACTTATTGAAGAAATTAAAGATCAACCAAATATTCAAACACAAATACGTGATCATGTGATGGTTATTGAAGGTTGCTAAAAAGAAAATTTATGTTTTTTTTTTTGTAATAAAAATATTTGTTTTTGTAAAGATTCGTTTGTGAACAGTCAAGAATGGACATTAAGTCGTAGTGTATTAGATATTCGTATTGGTTTATTAGGAACATTATCAAGTGGAAAATCTGCTTTAGTTCATCGATTTTTAACTGGTACTTATATGCAAGAAGAATCACCTGAAGGTGGAAGATTTAAAAAAGAAATTATTATTGATAATCAAAGTTATTTATTACTTATACGAGATGAAGCTAATGCACCTGATACACAAGTAAAAGAAATATTTGGAAATTTTCCATTGAAATTTATTCATTAATTCTTTTAGTTTACACATTGGGTTGATGCAGTTATATTTGTATTTAGTTTAGAAAATGAAGAAAGTTTTAAAGCAATTTATCAATATTATACGAAAATGAATCATTATAGAAATATCACTGACATGCCTTTTATTCTTGTTGGAACACAAGGTTAGAAAATTTCCTTTTTTTTTTTGAAAAAAGAATTATCAAAAATCTGCATTCTGGTTGTCTTAAGAAATAATTTATTATAATTTTCTGTTTTGTTTATAGATGCAATTAGTGAAAGTAATCCACGTGTTATACATGAAGATCGTGCTAGAAAATTATCTAATGAACTAAAACGATGTATTTATTATGAAACATGTGCTACATATGGTCTTAATGTTGAACGAGTATTTCATGATGGTTAATTAGTTTAAATAAATAATAACAATATTGTTTTGAAATTTTTCTTCTTTTTTATTTCTTTTAGTTTGTCAAAAAATTGTTCAACAAAGATATGGAACATCTAATTCAATGTCATCAACAAATCGTTCCTTAACACCTCAAACAATATCTAATATAACAACACATTCAACAAATTCTTTAACACAACAATCACCTGTATCAAATCAAGTTCGACTTGTCACAAATTCTCATAGTGTACCATCATCGTATGTAGCTGGAAATATAAATTTAGCTCAAACAGCACCAGCATCTGTTTTTTCATCGTATCATTATCAACAAGAACAACAACCAATACTTGTTCTTCCAACACAAAATTTTCCTATTGCACAATTAGCTCAATGTTTTAATAATCAATCAACTAATGGTGTACTAAAAGATCGAAATAATCAACAACAACAAATTGATAAACGAAATCGTTCATTTAAAGAACCAATTGGAAATAGTTTATCAACACTCAAAGAAGCTCAATCATTACCTGTACATGAAGGACAAGTAAGGATAAAATAGATTTAAAATACGAAAAGATTAATCATGTTAATCTTTATTATAGACAAATGAACAATTAACACCTACATCAACGCCAACACAAAAAAGAAAAGAAACGAAGCGAAAATCCAATCTTTTTACAGTAAATTAATTTTTATTTCATTTAGAATTTTAACCAAGGTTTTTTTAACAAAAAAGAAAACTGTTCAAGTTCATTCTTTGTTTGTTTTTTTCTGAGCAATTTTTTCATCATTGAATACCGAATATATCTTTTTAGAAAAATAGACTTTCTTGTAGCATTTTATATTAATAATAATATTGATTTCAAAAAACTCTCAATATCGTATTTTCATTTTAGAAAATAATTTTAATTTTAAGAAAAACAAATTTTCTATGCTTCTTCTTCCTCCTTGTTTGTTTAGTTAATTTTTTTTCATTAAGTTTCTTTTTGTTTGATAAGAACTTCCGAGTTTTACAATAGAATGGAATACAAATTAAGAAAAAAAATACCATTATGATAAGAGTTTTCAAGGAAACGAATTGAGTCTGTTGCTTTTATACAAAAAATAACAAAAACGCCGTATGTTAAAACAATCAGATATCAACTCATATTTGTATGATGTGATTTACAAATAACATTTAAAAAAGTGCTTTTAAGTTTTAATAATATATATATCTGTTCTTGAATATTAATATGTGAAATTCTTTCATTTTTCAAAAGCCAGAAAAGAATTTTTCCAATGTTAAATTTATTAGTAAAATTTTGAATAAAATATAGTTTATGATTTATAATATCAAATTGTTATAATAAGAAGTAATAATAAATTCACTGAAATAGTTTTCTAGTTATCATCTTATTGGATTTATATGCATAATTATTATTGTATTATAATTCAATTATATTTTCAATTATTTTGTAAAATAATACAAATATTTTAATGACAAGCTATTCCTCATATGCAAAGTAGCCAGTACAGAGAATAAATGGTGATCTAAGTATTTTCATTAGGGTTTTTGGAAGTTGGATTTTGCATAAAAAGTGTATCAAAAATTTTTTTTTTGGAAATGTCAGCGACAATACTAAACGTATTGAAATAAACCGACTTTCTCTAATGAAGGAAATATTTAAGACGTTCAGTTCCGTTTTGATTTATTCATACCTCACTCGATATATTATAGTGAGATAGGACACGGCTCTAAAGAATACGGGCCTATAGTCTCCTAGCAAAGAGTTTTTGGTCTGAAAATTTCAACGGAAACGAATATGTCGTTCTCGAAATATTCTTTTTCGAAATAGACCCGATTGTTGTGTCCTGCTTTGAAATAGAATATCTCGAGAAAGATATGTTCATTTTCCTTGAAACATTCAGGACTACTCCTAATGACTATTAAATCTATGTATAGAAAAAAATCTCAGATCAAAACACTTTATTTTGATTTTTTCGAATGAGTGGCTACCAATTAAAATCTCAATAAACTGGCCATAATTCTTCGCCATTAGGCCATAGATTCGAACTCTTTAAGGCTTTGACGCTTTTCAATATAAACTATCGAATGAGATATAAAAGAATCAAAATGGAGATCGACACCTCGAGTACTTTCTTCATGAGTTGAAAAATCATTTTCCTCAATATTTCTGTCATCTAGTAAAGATTAAAATAATAGAAACATTTTTGTAGGTTTCAAGAAGCTCTCTTAATAGATGGCCTCTTGAAAATTTTCATGTTTTTTTTTTTGCGATGTAAATCAAATTTATTTTCTTTTTCGGGTGTTCTACAATTGAACTGTTTGAAGCATTAGTTTGAGTTTTCTTTACTTAGATGAAATATGCCTAATGAATCAGATAAAAAGATGAATTATGTGATTTAACACTTCTGTTTTTTTTTTTTTATTTCAGTTGAAGAAAACTAGAAGATTTTTCAATCTAAATTTTGCTTTCAAAGAACTTTAAGCTGCACGACGAGAAACAACAAATTTGAAATTACTTAAAAAAATATTTATAGTCGGCAGTTTATTTTCGTCATCGCTTAGAAAGTTGGTCCTGTTTGACACGTTTTGTGCTCGATCTGACTTGTTGTACTTAACTTTCTTCAGAAAAGTTTTTCATACACATCGAAAATAATGAAAGAAATATTTATTCTTAGGCATTCGTTCTATTCAATAAACAATATATATATATTTTTTAATTTATTTTAGCCTGGTAAAAAAGACGAAGAAAAGAATAAAACAGATCGATTAGGTCATGGCCGAGCAATACCAATTAAACAGGTTATATTGCAAAAAAAAGAATCAAGCAACTAAATAATTATTTTGATATGTATTTTTTTCTTTCAGGGATTTTTGTATAAAAAAGGAACGAACAGTATCAATCGAGATTGGAAGAAAAAATATGTTGTTTTACTTGATGATGGTCGATTAATATATCATCCATCATTGCATGTAAATTTAATTTAAAAAATTAAATTTTTTCAAAAATTCTTCTGCATAGGATTATGAAAATGATTCTCATGGTAAAGAAATAATTCTTCAGCGTACAACAATTAAAATTCCTGGTTCAAATAAACCACGTATTGCATTACGTAGTGCAAGTAATGATAATAAATTAAATGATTTAACATCATCCGATGGTGCTATTATTATATCGAATTCATCTGTTACACCAGGTAAAATTCTTTTCTTTAACGAAGAAAATACGAATTCTTCATGCTATTGTCTTATATTAAATTTAATTTAAAAGAATTGACTAAAGAATTATTATTGTTTAATAGATATAAAAACTAATGTTTGATTAAGAATGAAACAATCAGTATATTCCCTCTATCTGTTTGTTTTGTAACAGTTCAATTTTATTGCATAGTGAATAAGTTTAAAATTTTCGAAAAATTGTTACATCTAAATGACGAATGTCTGAACATGAATTTGAAGTCATCGGACTTGCAAATAGCAATGAATGATGACCTACAAAATTGGTTTTATGAATTTATCAACATCATCTTAACATTTACATAGAGATTTAGACGTAATCAGCTATCCAACTAATTTCCTCAAATATTGAAATATACCAGATTGTGTATTAATACTAATTTACTCTTGTTAAGACTCACCGATTCTATAGAAATATTTGCTTGGCCTTTTGTACTTTTAATCGATTCACCAATGTCAAGCAGTGACATGGGTACCCCACTGTAATTCAAATACGAAAAATTTGAATAATTCATAACTTTAAATGATAATTCTAATAGTTTTGTCTATGAATTATAGTCAGTGGAAACAAGTATCAGTAGTCTGACACTGCTATATCCATACTAAAAAGTATCATTTATCATGTCTTACTTCGTACTTTTTTTTTGATTGCTTGTTCCCAAGAGTAAATCTTCTCCTGGTCATGTACACACACTCATCGTATCAACTAAGTTCTACTGCATAAAATTCTGATGTGCCTCACATTTACGAGATTGTTATGGCAACTATGTTGAAATAATTTTTTCTAGTTTTTTGTTTTTTTTGATTGATAAGAGTTCATAGTTGATGAATAATTTTGGTCTAGATCGCTTGCTGAAATCATCTCATGTCACGATTTGTTGCACGATGCAATCTAAACAAAATAGCAACTTCAATTAAAATGATGTAAAAACTATTTCTTAAACTAAAAATATCTAAATTTGTGATAATTACGATCAATTATAGTCAAAATGATCAATAGAATAGAGCCTATCGGGTCCAAAGTTTTCGGATTCGAACTCGACTGGATCTGGGTCCAGATCCGGAACCAGCCCAAAGCACTGTTTAATGAAAGACAATAAAATACTAATTGTGTCACTCTTAATAACTTCTCTATTAATGTTTTTTGTTCTATTTTCGTACATTGAATGAGAAACGCAGCTGCTAGTGCAATCCCTGTGGGATTAGATTATCAAACAAGATGCAACTGCTGCTGCTAATCATAGGAAAATTGTTTTATTCTATCTATTTTGGGACACATTTCTTCATTATCTTTTTGTTGAATCTTCGAAAAATACAATAAGGAAGTAGTTCATATACGGTCTTTGATCGTATATCAACAATGTCTTTCACGGCCTTTGAAGATAGATGGTCCCAATTTCTACTCCTATATTTCAACACTCCTTATAGATTGTGTTTCATGAATAAAATGTTGTTGGTTTTGCCTTTAGGTATTATTGATCAAGTAGTTCTTTCGTCTCCATTAGGAAAAATTGAGACACCAAATGCAAAAAAGCGTCATCGTCGTGTACAACAGACAAATCCAACAAATTTAATAAATAACTCTGCAACACCAAAACAGATATCAAATAATAATGGTGGTGATGATGATGGCGATGAAAATGTTTTTATTATTGTTTCATTGGATAAACAATGGTATTTTGAAGCACAATCAAATGAAGAACGTGATGAATGGGTACAAGCTATTGAACAACAAATTTTATTTAGTTTACAAAATATTGAATCATCAAAAGCAGCACGAGCCGCTAAAATTGGTGGACCAACTATGGCTGATTCAGCATCAATACAAACAATTAAACAAATACCAGGAAATGGTTTTTGTGCAGATTGTGAACAAATAAGTAAGAAAAGGAGAAAAGAAAAATCGTTTTTTTGTTTTTCTACTATTTATATATATTAAGATCCAACGTGGGCGTCATTAAATCTTGGAGCTTTAATTTGTATGGATTGTGCATCATTACATCGAAATCTTGGAACACATCTATCACGTGTTCGATCATTAGAACTTGATGAATGGCCGTAAGCGATTGTTCTTTTTTCTCGTTCAAAATTTTTTCTGTTTAATTTTTTTTTATTTAAAAGACCTGAACTTGTACAAATAATGCGTTCAATCGGAAATAAACTTGCCAATTCAATATGGGAAGCCAATATTAAAAATCGAGTTAAACCACAACCAAATGCTGTATCGTATGTTTTGATTAATGAGTTTTGTTTTAGTTTTTTGTAGATATTTTTCTTTTTTCTAAGGTCTGAACGTGAAAGATGGATTCGTGATAAATATGAACAAAAATTATTTCTTGCACCATTGACTATTTCGCCTTCTTTAATAAAACAATCACTTATTGATGCTATTCATAAAGTAGATCTTTATACAATCATACTTATATTAGCACATAGAAAATTATCAAATGAAGATAATAATTCTTCACTATTACATTTAGCTGCTTCACAAGGAAATGTTACTATTTTACAACTTCTACTTTGGGTAAAAAAAAATAACACGATTTTTTTATTAGTTGAAGCAAAAACTCAACAGATCTTTCTTTTTATCTTCAGTAACACATGTCTATTGTGGATATCATGAGAACTGTTAAAAATCCTTCACTAGACGCCTAGGTTGCTGTGAATTGAAGAAAAACTTCTAAGATACTTGCCTCTACCTTAGTCTTATGAGAGAATAACAACAAGTGTGAGTTTCTATTTTCGATTGGCTTTATGTTGGTTTGTAGAACTCAATGAGCTGATCACACCAGCATAATGTGTACTTCCCTATAGACTGTCTTTGAAGAGAAAGGCCTATCTTAACGTCAGAAAAATAACTACTACCGATCATTTCGGAAATTTTAATTTTTAATTGTATGTTCATCTATTTAAGAGAAATATGAAAAAAACATGTTAATATTATTTCAATTATTTGCTTTATCTATTGAATTTATTCGCGTAAACATGCAAAAAAATAACTAAATAGAATGCAGACCATCGAAGACGAGATGTCTGATTAGACTTTAATTAGTACGACCTTAAAATAGTATTCTCAGAGAATGTTGATCAGTTTTGAAAGAATAGCTGAACTCTGTGCACTCATAATATTGATGATATTTTGAAATATTCAAAGTGTAGACATTGTTAGGACTTCTATTTATGTTGGTTGTGTGAATGTGTGCAGTTAATTGATTCGTATCTAGTGTTCAAGTTTTCAATTTTGACAACTAAACTAATATAAAAATAAAATTTTCCGAAATAGCAACGTACAGTTTTTTTCTGAAATTGAGATCGATCTTACTCCTCAAAGACAATATAGAGGGAACGAACAAATTACGTCATTGTGATCAGCTGATTGAGTTCTACAAATTGGCAAATAGTCGATCGAAAATAGAGATTCACACTTGAGGATCTTACCTCGTTAGATTAAAGGCCTGATGATTTTTTTCTTTTGTTCATCTATTTTCGTTTAAATGATTTCTATTGAAAGATTTTCAGAATTACAATATAAGATCTAGTGTTTGTTTTTTTCAACGATCTTTCGATGTCGTCTTTTTGTCTTTTTAGTTTTGAATTAATATCAATATCAATTATTTTTGATTCTAATTTTATAATTAATTTCTTCATACTTGCAATCATCGACGCATAGATAAAGAGTTTAGAGAGAGGCATCTCCAGGAAAAATCGCTTCATCGAATTCGAAATTGTTCGTAATCAAGAGATTTTTACGAGAAGTTTTACTGCATTGTTTAATTGATCATTTTATAGAAGATACAGAAATCTCTTAGATTTTTTTTTGTCTAGTGCAAATAAAAACAAGAGAAATTTGTTATTTTTAGTTATATGGTCAAATAATGGTAATTAATATTATGAAAACCTTAATTACAACTGAGAAACGTTGAATAGACTTTGTATGAAGTTGTGCCTTCGATTATTTCTTCTTCACAATAATAGTGAATAATTAAAAAGATTTTGTATTAAAATATATGTGTCGAAATTCTTAAAATTCAAGACTACTCAAAAGTAGTTTCATGGATTGAAATACATTTTTTTTTATCTTTGGATATTGTAATGATTTTATTTCTTCTATAATCTAGAATCTTTCATAAATCGATTGTAGCTTTCGAAAAATCTTCAGCAGATGTTTTATTTTCTTGACAAATGTTGCCGTAGATTTTTCATTAAATTGAAAAATTGATTTTCATAAGTCTCTTATTTTAGAAAGTAATAAAGCTATTAAACATATCGATTCTAATAGAAAATCTTTCAGTAACTCAAATCCTTTTAAAATTATTATTACAAATAAAAAAAAATACTCTAAAATTATTAATCAATCAAAACTCGTAATTATCAATCATGATTAAAATCTATTAAATTTAATTATTCATCTTGTTCTTAATTAGAATAGAAAAAAATTGAACATAGTTTTCAACTATAAATCATTTTATATTGTATAATATTTCGACTGAATAAATCTATATAATGAAAAAAATCTTTTTATTTTAGTATGGTGCTGATGCATTTGCTATTGATAGTAATGGTCGTACACCTCTTCAATGTGCTCAAGGTGATTGTATTCAAGTTCTTCAAACATTAACTAATAATAATACAGATTCACATACAAATTCTCAACAAATAAAACCGACATCAATATCTCCTCAACACAGTACAATACCTCGTCAACGTCCACCAGCATCATCACCTGGTCCGCCTTATGATAAACTTCCATCAACTGTTATTTAATATTCAATTTATGTTCAGATATCAGTTTGTTGTGTGTTGTATTTATGGTGCGATTTGTTCCTTTCTCATTTTGTGCAATTCTCTAAAACTTTTTTTTAAATATCGGAAGAACGAAAAAAAAAGTAGAATTTTTTTGTGAAATAACTCTTTATCATTTGTTAGCATGCTTCTTTTGTAATATTTCGATGTTTCATGTTGTTATTATTCTTGTTCTCTTTTTCTTATAACTCTAAATTCACGTTTGTTATCTGTCTGACTTATTCTAATCTCTATCTTTCTTCTTCGTTTTTTTTTGTTGCGTTTGTACCGTACAGTAGAAAAAAAATGTAACAATTCAATTTTTGTATATAAAAAATTGCAGTCTTTTTGTGTTCTCAGTTATAAAATATTGATTGTATCTAGGAAAAAAAAATATTATGGACATACTTATATATTTGTTGCTCTTCAGATTATTATTTGAATAAATCAATTTTCAAAATGACTAATGTTAAAAGTAAGATGAGGAATATTTTCTTGGTTAATCTTGAATGAAATATAAAAAAGGATTTGAACATATTGAAGTTGAGATATGCATTACCATTAATTGCTCGTAAAGCTTAATTATTTTTATTAACAATTGTTTCAATTGAATGACAAAAAATAATGATTAAACGACGGATTGTTGGTGATAATACATGGAAAAAGTTAATTTCAAAAATGATTTTATAGTGTGAATAATTGGTTTAGCTGACCCAGTATCAAAATAATCAACAGAAAAAGTCAAATTTTTAGGAGATATAACTCAATCAGAACTTATACACCATATGCACAATAGTCTGAAAGGTCTTTAAAAATCTTAGTAAATGCTTATCTAGACTCTTATCAATGATGCATCAGGTCGTTCAAAAAAACGGCATTTTATCGTTTAAATCAGTTTGTGTTGTCCAAAATTACCATTTATTATGTCTAAATGTTGTTTCGAAGCAGAATATAGACATTCATAAATGGCATCGAAACGTTATCATATGTATGTTGCGATTAGGTATATATATACTAACAGTTCGATGCCATTTATATGAGGGACAGTTTCTTTCTTTGAAAAAACATTTGAGTATAATAAACGACAATTTTGAATAATGCATACTGGTTTAAACAACAACAAAATGTCGTTTCGTGGACTTGATGGGTTTCACCAATTTATCAAATACCATTTTCTAATGGTAAATATATATTTTTTGAAATTAATCGAACATCTATGTTCAATTTTATTGTTTAGATGTTGCTTTACATAATTTTACATTGTATCAAGTAAATATTGTACATACGCATAAAGAACGATCTAGTTCAAGTGAACATTAGATTGTATCGATTGATTCATCCTTATTAAAATAACGAAAACTCATATTTTTATTTATTGATGTTTTAATTTTATTAGATGAATTACTTATTTTTAACAATGAAAATAAAACAAATGAAAGCACTAATGGGGAGAATTAATTGTGAATACAATACACATGGTAACATCAATAAATGGTCACAACCTTGAATTAGATTTAACTGTGTTTTTTTGTTTGTTTGTTTACTTGTTATTCAGTTATGTTTTGAAGAGAAATTAAAAAAAAAATAAACAAGAATGATAATCTGTTAATTACGGAAAAAATAATAAACTTGTTTTTTCTTTGTCGTATCTATTGTTTGAATACTGATCTTGGATTGAATCTAGCACTATGGTAGAACAATATATTAGATTGAAACAAAATATTTAGTACATTTATAGATTTCAAATATTTTCTCAAAGGTAATAGCTAAGATGAATTAGCAAAACGTTTTAAGTAGCTGAAAGAATTTCCCATCAGGAAAAGTATATTTTCGTTTTCGAAGACCTCAAAAGAAAAGCAACTTTTTAAATTTGATTGAAAATCTTTTTTTTGCAAATATTTAGGAGCATAAAAAAATGTTAACGAGCTCTTCGTGATCTCTCTTCATGACTCTACACTCTATTTTAATTGCTTTTGCAAAAAATTGGTATTTGTACGTCTTGACATTTGTCGTAGATTGAAGTGTACTTTGATAAAGAAAAGTTATGTAAGGCTCAGAAAGTTTGTATTAAACTTCTAAATATTTTCACTACTTGATGAGCGTATTTCAAAACATTTCCGATGAAATTCAGCAAGTTAATTAGCTTTAAGCTTTGGTTTTCCAAGGAAACAGTTTCCATAAACAGTTAAATTGAAGCAAGAAAAATGCATCTCTTTATGCAAAATTCTTTCAGTTATTCAAATCGCTTTTTCGGATTTGTCCTAGTATTATGGAGGTACACAAATTCATGAATCGATGATTTAATTCAAATTGATGTTAATTTTCTTTTATTGATTGTTATATTGATCAATTGGCTGATACATATATCTAGAATAGAAAAAAATATATTTAGAATAGAAAAAAATATATTATTTTCAATGATAAAAAAAAATATTATTTTCAATGATAAAAAATTCATAAAAATTTGTCGTATTGATGACGATCAACAAAAGCAAACCATGGAAATAAGGTTTGTCCGACGTTGTTCAATGCTTTTAATTTTACCGCTCTGATTAAGTTCACCGCTATACGATGCGGATTCCGACATGAGAGATAGGATCCGCTTTAGAGANTGCATCTCTTTATGCAAAATTCTTTCAGTTATTCAAATCGCTTTTTCGGATTTGTCCTAGTATTATGGAGGTACACAAATTCATGAATCGATGATTTAATTCAAATTGACGTTAATTTTTTTTTATTGATTCTTATATTGATCAATTGGCTGATATATATGTAGAATAGAAAAAAAAAATATTATTTACAATGATAAAAAAATTCATAAAAATTTGTCGTATTGATGACGATCAACAAAAGCAAACCATGAAAATAAGGTTTGTCCGACGTTGTTCAATGCTTTTAATTTTACCGCTCTGATTAAGTTCACCGCTATACGATGCGGATTCCGACATGAGAGATCGGATCCGCTTTAGAGAAGCGGTGAACTTACGGGGTCTTCGGCTTAGGAGCCGGATCGACCTTCGCCAAGAAGCTCTTCAGAACGGCTGTGAACGAGCAAAGCTCGGTTTTCACCGAACAAAGCTCGGTTTTCACCGCACTAAGCTCGGTTTCGACCGAGCGAAGCCTCGTCTCTACTGGAGAGATGACATCTTTGACCGCCTCTGCCAGTATTTCTTCCTGGGTTTTGCCAGGAGTGAACTAAAATTAAAAAAAGAAATAAACTATTTTTTAAATTAAAAAAAAAATTTCCAGGGAACCCATACTTCATCTTTTTTTATTGCCATGTTTTCTTTCTTACTCTCTTTCTATTCTGTCTTCTCTTGTCATGATCGCATTCTTTTTTTTCTTTTTGTTCTGATAACCGGCCAATCGAACCGAAATGTGGAGGTGCGACCTCCACTTCTATGGCTGCCACTATCATCTACTGGAGTCATCTATCTCTGATGTGTTGATATCGTAGATCACAAGGGTTTCAGAACTCAACGTCTGCTATCTCTCATAGGGAAAAACAATTAAAAATCAATAAAACACTGACTACTCCATGTTCGTATGACATTTTAATTTATAAGCGATCACTGGATATTTTCTTTGCCTTTTATAGATAGCTAGCTTCATCTATTATCTCTCTTTTTCTCTCTCTTTCTTCTAGATATCGGATTAACTATTTCTTTCGTCTAGATGACTTTTCACGTGATGATCACTACGATCACTCTTTGAACGAAAACAAAAAATATAGATTATCGAAACAACCAATGATACAATTTAAATAGATTTTTTATTATTCTTTCCTTCACATCACGGGGCCTCGAAACTATTGGAATACCTCGATGCGTAGACAAAAGAATAAGATAAACGGCAACATATAGTCAAACAACATACTTTTGTACTTAAATTTACTTTTTGCCAGTTCAAAATATTTTCTATTACTTTAAATTGCTTTTGCTTATTTCAAGAAATTTTGAGCAATAATGAAACACTTTGATGTACTTAGTGCTATTTTAAAACAACTTTAAGTACTCCAGTTAATTCAGACAAGTTTCTCAAATGCCCTCCTTCCCATCGAAAAAAAAAATAATATTCGTGAAATACATGAAAATTGAGGTGAATGCATAGAAAGGTGACTCGAGGTCCTAATCTCTCATAAATGAGATGACTTTTTTATTTATTGTTCTTCACTTAGACAATGCAAAGCTATTTGGTGTGCGAGTTTGTGAACTTAAATAGCATTATTAATCGAATATTTTTCTTCTTCTAATTTTCGTTTGATAACAAATAGATCAATGATTATAAATAGGACTTCAAACTTGATTAACTGATCCATAATGCTATTTAACATCATGATTATGGCACCCCGAGACCTACCATGTCTTCTGTTGATATTAGTCGATCGAAAAGTTTTATCTTTGTTGGTAATGACACTATTTAATAAACTGCTATTCCTAATATAGAAATTGAACATCACTAAAAAAAAATAAGATTTTGCAAAGGCGACTTAAAATATGTTTTAACTGACTAGAGTTTGTTAAATTTTAGTTTTGTTTTCATAAAATACTGTACATGATCAGTTGAATATTGAAAAGATAGCAAGATTATTCCATATCAGAGATCCGCGACTCGCCAAGTTTCCTCGTGTCTCGGCGAGTCAGGATCCTTGAAGACGAGGCGAAGACAAGTCTATAAAACTTTGATGAGTTACTCGCCTGCTTACTATACAGATTGTTTGCACAGATATCATGATAGGTTTCAAAAAAAATACAAAAATTTATAATGAGATCGCATAGAGAGACTAGCCTGTGCATAAATTCAGCAGGAAGAAAAGAATAGATGATAATTTAATAAATAATTTACTATATATTTCCCATTAAATACATTTAAACTTTATCGAAATTCGAAATTTTGCTCAAGCTTCTGGTGAATACTCTCATCATCATCGGCATACAACGACAAAAAAAAGTATAGAGAACACTTATATGAACATATGTATCGAACTGAGTGATTTTACAAGATTATATTTTGAATGATGCAAGATAATATACAAAACTTTATTTGGATTTATATGCATGTGATAGTTTTGTATTTTGTGTTATTCTTTCGTGATGATAATGATAGGAATGCTAGCCAAAAGTCTGAAATAATGGTCGAATTTCGACAGCCTCTAAATGTGTTCTGTGTTACATATATGCCTAATTATTTATTTGAATATCATTCGTTCTCCTTTTCATGTTGGATATTGATATAAATGAAAGTTATTCACTTTCTTTTCTAATATGCACTTTAGTTTATTGTGTGAACAAAATTAACAATGCATAACAATTGATTCTGGTCTCGTTATCTATTTTTATAATTTTTTTTTTTAGAACTATTATATACATCAAAATTATAAAATGTCCAAAAAGCCATTGAACAACAAGAAAGCGATATTTCGGTCAAAGTTGTATTGGAATAACTGGTTACCGTACTAATTGTAGAGAGCCGTTCAAAGTTTTTATTCAATAGTATGGATTTGTCAAATATTCTTAGAAGTAACGCTTTCAAGTTCAGTGCACAATACAAGTCCTTTGACGAGATACAAAACAATCGAATAAAGGACTATTTTTGGATATTTTCCATTTTGATGTTTATAAACGAAGAGAAAGAAACCTGAATAACAGAAAATCCAGAATAATAAAATAAAAAGCAATAAATTCAACATGCTCCTACATATTGTCTTTTAGCACCTCGAACAAGGTTTTTCATTGTGTATCGAACCTGAATCTGTTACTTTGTAAGAGTACTTGAGAAATCCATATTCTTGAATGAAAACCTAGAACTATCCTCTATAATTATTAAAAATACTAGGATATTCAATAGAACCGCGATGGAAATATAAATTTTTCTTTCTTGGTAAATGACTCTACAAATATTCTGTACTTAATTTTTCCTTTGGGATGTGCAACAGTCACAACAATTGGAATTACCTTTAAATTACACGATTAATAAGAATGATTTTACTGAAATCGATTAAACTTGAGAAAATTGAGAAATATTTCGAAAGTCGGTGAGCGAAAATACCCAAAACAATTCGGGAATTTAGCTATGAGAAAATGAAAAGTTCTCAAAAACAGGGGGCTCAATACTGACCCACCCACCCTGCTCGGAATGCTTCTGTTTGATATTATGAAACAGAAGAAATAGTCATTTTTACATGAGGCTAAAAAATGCGTAAGAAAACATATGTTGTTACACTAAGCCTTAGGCGATGCGAGGTGAGTTAGCAGCGAGCGACTTATCGACATGACGAGGCACCTTTTTAACCGATTCGCTGATCTCTCATCAGTTGGCCATGGACCTGAATTCCATTAAAGTTTTCTTAGTTTCAATTTTCATACTCATTATATGAAATTGAACAGCATCTAACAATTGAATATGCTCTCCTTGTAAGATTTGCAACGGTATTATTGAAAAAAATTACTCACGCTAGTTTACTTCTAACAAAACTCTAATTCTAAATTCATGCAAATCTTCGTTAATTTCTTATTTAATTATGAAAATTACTTTTTAAAAAATTTATATATTCTAAATTATACATATATAGTTTTCTAATATTATTTTTCAATATTTTATTAAATAGATTCAACGTATGTTTAAAAACCCCTTCATTAGTTCCATTTGTACCAAATCTACTCGAACAATTTCTCGATGGTGATGGTATGGATTTATCAGTTATCGATGATTGTCTTTGTGCAAAACCTACATCATCACATTGTATATTTGGTCAAAATAGTCCTACCTATAATACAAATACTAATACAAATAAAAACATAAATTTACAAAAACTCATTGGATAAAAGAGCATTCTCTTAATTTAATATCTGAATGTGATTATGCACCTTTATATGATCATCGACTTGTTATTACAAGTGTAGATAGTAAAGCAAATATATTTCGTAATATTCTTTCTTTCTTTATTATTTTATTTCAAACACTATATGTTGCTTTATATACTGGAGTAATCATTGTTACACGAACACCAAAATATTATAATCATTCTTATGTTGATTTGGAAAATGATACATGTATTTATATGTGTAATGTCTTAACAAATACAACATATCATTTTGATTATTCAAATCATGGAACATTTATTTTATATATATTTCGTTTAATACTACTTATATGTTCATGTATTGCTTTATTAAAAGAATTTATACAAATTTTAACACAACGTGAAAGATATTTTCGAGAATTTTTTCTTAATCTTTTAGAAATTTTAACTGATTCATGTGGAGTTATATTTGCTATAGGTACGAAAAATAAAAATAAAAATTTTTAAAAATTGTTTATTTTATTTATTTAGATACAAATATTTGTTCGAAATATTCTAGTATTCGATGTAAATATCAATATGATTTTGGTGCATTAGGTGTTGCATGTGTATGGACTACTCTTCTACTTGCATTTGTTAATTCACTTAAACTAGGAAAATATGGTCTTTTATTTATAACAATATTTTTATATGGATTGGCTATTTATTTGCATTTCATATGTTATTAACGGAAAATCCATCATTCGAAACTGTACTTACATCAATATCACGGATGGTTTCGATGTTAACTGGAGAATTTGGTTTTGAAAATTTATTTTATACAGAAGGAAAATCTGTACGTGGCACAACAATGGCAAAAATTATTTTTACAACTTTTGTTTTCGTTGTACATATTTGTGTTATGAATATTTTGGTAAGATATACTCTACAACATGATTTTATTTAAGACTGGAAAATTTTTAGAATATAATTTTCAATTTAGAATTATACGAGATGAATTTAAAGTTGATCATACACTAAAAAATGCTTGCGATGAAAATTTATCTACAAATGATAATGATGACGAGTTTTAGAAACTCAATTATCGTTATTTATAATAAATCTGTGCCTATCATAGACCAATAAATAGGTAAAAAATATAGATCGAGATGAAGGAATAATAATCATAACGGACGGAACATAATGTCTAAAGCCCGAAAAGAAGTTATGAAAAATTGTATGCGGACATCGAGAGTAGACACAAATACAAAAAGAACACTCATACAATTATTGAAGAAAACTAAAACATTTGCTTCCATTCAAAAAACGAGTCATGATAAAAATTGGACATACAATAATTAGCATTGCCGACAGTTTCGAAGCAATGTATCTCAGACTAAATGTGAAAAACTTCATGCATCTTTTTTTGAATGATATTAACTAATCAGTTTTTTTTGTCAATGTTTTTCAAATGTAAGAAACATTACTATTTTAATATAAAAGATGGCTATGAAAGTGTGCTGTAATCCTCCAATGAAGAGAACTTGCTTGTTCTTTTCCCTCCGAGCTCTGTCTCACGAATGTTGGCTGTCTTAGACTAACTCTACTAGTCACTATTAAATCTGCGATGCTTTCAATAAATTGCATCAGTTCAATCGAAGTTATAAGAGTGCAATATGATAATCTCAATTATCTTTGTTTCTATTTTATATTATTAAAACTTAAATTTTAGATTGGTTTAGCCGTTAGTGATGTAAACGATTTTCAAATAAATGCTAAACGAGAAAATTTACGTTCAAGAATTCGAACAGGTACCAATTAAATAAAAAAGAAAGACTTAGATATGTTTACTTTTTTCTTATAGTATTGAATTTTCAAGCAAAATTTGATACAATTTGTGATGCATCATCAAAATTAATATTTGCTCTTGCGCGTTATTTTTCTCAATTAATAATTAATGCAAAATTTGATGTATCAAAACTATCAATACATATGAAACCAATTCAAATATCAAATCATGCAACAAATCATATTCATTGTCGTGTTGGATATGTAACAATGAAAAACCCAAATGAAACTCTATCTAATATTACTCGAAAAAAAGAAAATATGCAAGAAATTCATAATGAAAAATTAATGCATAAAGTTAATCAAATTCGTGAAGAAATTGATAAAACACAATTAAGATTCACACAAGAACTTTATCGATTAACATTAAATCTATCAAAACTGTTTGAAAAATAATTTATTTTTTTATTCTTTTTCTATAGTAATTATTCGTGCATCTTTTTTGTTTTGGTTATTTTTAATATAAGCATATTCTCGCATGGCAAATGATTGTTTACATTTAACAGATATTTTCAAAAATCAACGTCTTTGGTGTCCATGAAAGTGACTGTTACCAATGATATTAATGATGGTTTTTTTCTTTTGTCGACATTTTTTTGCCGAATAGATAGCAATCAGATCGGTCGTATGAGTAATATTACTTCGAAGAATTGACATAGTAAACCTATGCTATTAATCAAACCTTTGATTACTGATGAATATGCTTTCATATATTTATCACGGTGTATTTTAGTTTGTGCGAGACTTCATTCTGGTTATGAAGCTTCAATGACGGAGAAATTTGTTTTTGACAGAACATTTCATTCCTTTCATTAGGTACAATTTTTTCAAAAACAAAACAAAAGACTTTTGTATTCACATTTTCTAATAAAACTATCTCGTCAAGATTGGGCTTTATTTTAAGCTTAGTATTATAAATAGAAACTCGACAGTGATATTCTAAGGATAATGATTCTTTCATTAGATATCGTATCGATGATTTTCAGGCTCTTGCGATAAAATAAGTGATAAATCTTTCAATTGAAAATATTTGTATAAAATTTAATAGTATGACTTACTCACAATCTGATTTAAAGATATGAAAGAGAAAACTTTGTTCGGTACAACACCGTTCTATATTCATCAAGATATATCATTGTAATATCATATTGCAAAAGAGAAATATTCATGATATGAATATTTCAATGGTTTATCATCATATGGTAAGAATAATCAACACGTCCGTATACATGGTTTCATTCTAACACGTGAATATGTATTTTCTATTGTGTAAGTATTTATCTACTATTTACTTTCTGAGTAGACTTAATGAAAACAAATCAAGTTTGAAATATAATGTACAAACACGCTTGTTGTTCTGATTATTAATCTCTTAGGAAGGCGAGCTCATTTGTACTTTATTTGGTTTATCGAACAGTGAAATTATAAAAATGAAACAGTATAATTATCTGTTCTAAATGATATGGCATTGTAAAGTTCATTACATTTTAAAAATTTACCTGCAGATGGCAGACATTTCTGTTTCATAAAATTGATTTGAAACTAAAGCAAATGGAAAAACAAAGAGGCATGTAGTAAGTAACTGATCACTGCATGGCAACCATACGAAATCAATTCTCCTTTATTCAAGCAAGTACAATAATGTCGTCATCTACATCGGTTAAAATGCAAAAACTAGGCGTTTGTTTTCAACCGCCGACTATATTTCTATTTTATACCGATACATCAACTGGTAAATTACGTCGTCGTACTGTTACTTTGGATGATTTTACTAAAACTACAAATATAACTGATTATGCAAATGAACTTCACAATGATAAAACAACAAGAAAACGAAATCTTTTTCGACATATTCCAATACGACGTCTTGAACGTCTTCTATTTGTTTTGAAAGAAGGTCTTACATCAAATATATCCAAAACTGATATTGAAAAAAAATTACGTAAATTTGATGAATTAGATACAAATGAAGATTTAAATAAACTTGATGATGATATATTAAAACATAAAAAACTTATTATGAATGAAACATATGAAAAAAATCATATTGATCCATCATCAAAAAATTTTGTTTATGATGTGGTTGTAGATTTTGAACCAACTAAAGGAGACCAACAAACATCTGAATGGGATTCAACAGATGAAATAGAAGAAGATATAAAACACGATGATGATGATGTCGATGACAATGATGATGACGATGATTTTAACTGAAAATCTTTATCAAGTATTCAGTTTTTTGTTTATTTGTGCAATTTATTTCGCATTTAATCATGAAATATAAAACGGAGATCTTTGGAAATTTGATCAATGTTTTTTTTCTAATCATGATTGAATAGATCTCATCAAGTCACCTTTAAAGAATGCTGGTTTTAATATAGCCGAACTCTATGGTTCAAGCGAAACTTGAAAAAAATAAGCTTATAAAAAATAAAAAGAGTCTATAAAAACTGAAATATACGAAAGCGTCAAGTCTCGATAATTCAACATTTATTCGATAGTTTCTTTTAGTTTTATTCATTATATAGTGATGGAAAAAAGCTGCGCATCACTTTTGAGAAATCCTATTTCATTGGTGAGACAATTGATTTCCTTCGATGTGGCCAGTGAAGCACCATAAATCAGAGATTACCAAGATTTTGTGCGTTTAGTATATTTCAGTTTTTATAAACTTCTTTTTCTACATTTCGCAATACAAAATATTATTCAACTATGTTAAAACCAGCATTTCTGAAAAGTAATTTAACGAGATCTATTCACCCGTAACACAACAGAGATCAAAAAACGTTGCTCAAATTTCAAAATTTCCGGTGCCTTACTATTCAATTTTTTTTCTATTGAAACATCTTAAAAAATGTGATAGATGAATATTAAAATGTCTCAACAATGAAGTGTGATTAAAAAAAAACTTTAAACATCTTTTTTCTCCTTTTCGTTTTTTGTTGTTTCTAACCTTTGTGATAAAACCAAGCCAAAGAATCTCCTCAAAATATATATGAATAAATGAATCTAATCAAAATCCAAGATCAAAAATAGATTTATGTGAAAGATCAATTCATATTCTTGCATCAGCTTCGTCTATTAGTTCAACTGAAATAGATTCCAATATTTTAATAAGGAAAATGCTAAAATTAGCTTTAAGCATCAATTATCCATCTTAATAAAAACAAAATCATAAAGTTTGCTTAACAACAATCTTTAACCAAAATAAAACAAATTAAGATTGATATGTTTATTTGCAAAATATGATTTATAATTTCAATGAACGATGATGCATTGAAGAAAAACCTGACAACATTATGCATTAATAAAACCTTAGTAAAATCAAGATTTTATCTATAAATACCAGTAAAATATCTCAATACAAAGATTTTATAAACACTTTAATTGATCATATAATGTGAAGTGTGATTCAAGATTATATTTCTAAATAATAAATAAATATCAAACACAAATTATATTCTATTTTTGGTTTTTCTTCACCATGAAGATTCAAAGAAAAAAAAAGAACTTTGCAAATAGGTTGATTATTTGGAACACATAATTTCCTTTATACATAATAGAACATGAATTAAATCGATCAATCAATCAATCAATCAATGTAAAAGAGACAAGCCCGAAATCCACTATAATTTAAAAAGACTATCAGAGACTTCAATCATATAATACACCGTACTTAATCCTCGTCTGGTACATCCATGGGTTAGTATGATTTCTCTGCCTCCTGTTTTCTTAATGAAAAAATATTACATGAGCAATTGCGTCAGCGTTTGTATTAGAAATTAAGCTTGGCATTAGTACTCAGCAATCGAGATTTAGGACAATATAGAAAAAAACGAATTGCCCGAATTTTTGTAATCTTTATATCGAAACATGTCGTACTTTTTTATTTCTAACAAATATCTTTATATTCAAAAGAAATAGACTGCTACTCAAGCAAAATCCGAGTAGAACGGACGGCTGACTACAAGAGCCCGACAAAAATGTCAGAACGCGATCCCATATGGCATCTGCTATTTCTAAATCTTAGACTTCCGTAAAGGAAATCATAATAAATTTCAATTGTGTTCAACTGTATTGGCTCAGCAGACAAACTAACAGATGAGGAATCTAAATCAACTATTGTCACACCAGGAAACTGTTGCGTATAGTTCAATAAACTTATTTATTCATTAATGAAGTCAAGATGTTTTTCTTCGCGTCAGTGCGCATTGTATTCTTTGATCGACGAAATTTATAATCGAAATTATTTATTATTCCAAGTCGACTAGACATGAACATGGAATTACGTTTAGTTCTTTAGAATTTTCATGAAAATATTATATTTTCTATTAATGTGTAATGACATTTTAGCAGTTGTTTGATGTCGTACTAAGTCAAATAGAAATAAACTATATTTCAACAAAGTATTCAAAAAACAAAAAAAAATTATTTCTATGTAATAAATAGAAAAATATAATTTAAATTTTAGATTTATTGATAAAAAAGAATTGTTAAAGGTTAAATGACACGCAAAAAGAAAAGACACTAGGTCACGATGTATAAATATTTTTCTTTTTCATGGAATTTGATACGTATTGTATCATTAAAAAAATCAAAATGCACTTTTACATGTGCACTTACTTGATGGTTTCATGTAATGGAGATGAACGAAACAAATGTTTTCATATATCACTCACTGAGTAAACACTGAATTTATTTTGACATCAATTTTGTAAATTAAATGATTTTCTTTATTAATAGCATCTACTAATTAACACTCGACAAAATATGAAACTTTTCATATTTATATATATGACTTTCGATTGGTCTCGGTAGATGATGTACACATTTGATTGTTTGGATATAACACGTATGTTTTGAATTACATTTATATAAATATGTCGATTGACAAACCAGTGAACAAAAGTCATTATTTTCTATTTTAAAAGTTTCCAAATACATACACTTATGATATTGATTCAAACAATATGTACATTGACAACTACAATTCATAGCATCAATTAATTAATATAGAAAATGAAATGAATGTTCAAAATTGAACTCATTATTATTAATTAGGAATACAAGCACAAAAGTCAAAAAAGATCAACTCAATGAATACAATAAATAAGTGGCCATTATCTTGTTTCAAATAATTAAATACAAATATTTTTCAATGACATATTTTTATCGCATGCTATAAAATAAACTAGGTAAAAAATAATTGAAACTATATGACAATAGGAATGACGTTAGTGTGCTGCAATTGACAGTAACACGCATAGTCTGTCTCAATATATAGACAAGTAACACTATCACAAAAACAGATAATTTGATATTCGCCATCACATTTCCTTTCCAAAACTATCGTTCTATTCATTCTATTATTTTAATCAATTCTGCATTCATGTCAAACTCAACCACTGATTTTACAATAACTTTAATCAATAATATATCTTCACAGCTTAATCATTACATAACATTGTTTGTTTTTCTATTTGGTATCATTGGAAATGTATTAAATATCATAGTACTTTCACAACCGGTATTACGTCGTAATCCATGTGTATTTTATTTTCTTGGCTCATCGATAGCTAGTCTTGGAATTATTCTTATTGGCCTTCCATCACGTATGATAGCTGGACAGATATCATCAGATCCAACAAATACTAGTTCTTACTTTTGTAAATTACGTATTTTTTTTCTTTATTCATTTCGAACAACATCTGCTTGGTTATTAGTATTTGCTACTATAGATCGATGGTTTCTAAGTAGTACTAAAATTCATAGACGTCGTTTAAGTTCACATAAAATTGCTTATTATAATATTATTATTATTTTTTGTTTATCGTTTATTCTTTGGATTGAAGCAATTTTCTGTTATGATGCTTATGTTGATCATGCACCAATTAAATGTTATGGAAAATCAAATAGTTGCCGAGTATTTAATGATATTGTATATGCAAGTTCAACAGTTGCTATTCCATCAATGCTTATGTTAATCTTTGGACTTTTAACTATTCGTAATATAAATCGATCACGTCGAACATCTCGAGTATTTTTTAATACTATTCCAACTATTGGTCAAAATGGTAGTAAAAGACGAAAAAGAATTCGACGTACCGAAGTTTCTCTTACTTGTATGTTACTTCTACAAGTCGTTCTACTAACACTTTGTTCGGTACCACAAGCAATACATCAGTTCTATTTAACTTTTACAATTGATATGTATAAAAGTCCATTACATATAGCTATTGAAAATTTTATTGTTAATTTTAATTTTTCACTTACATATATTGGAAATGCAATTCCTTTTTATATTTATACACTAAATGGTACTGCATTTCGTCAAACATTTATTCGTCTTGTTGATTCAACTATTCGACAATTGAAAATTTATTTATCTTCTATATTGGCTCGATTAATTATTTTTCTTTTCATGATTTCTTGTCAAAGATAATTGTCAACACAATAGTTATTTTTGTACCCGAAAAAAGAGAAAGAAGATTTTAGACTTTATTAATGTAAATAGATTATCTATGACAAATATAATAGAATCGATTTTGATTGTCAATGTTATAAATGTTGTGTTGTTCTCATGAAATAAAATTAAAAAAAATTGGATTAGCCTTTCGTCTGTAAGTTTTAAATATACTTTTACTTACAATTTCTTTTTCAAGACATATGCAAGATAAACAAAGACTTTCAAACAATTCACTGTATAGAAAACCGATAATTTCATCTCGATAATTAATCGTGCAATATTTACGATGTTCGGCAATCTGTCATTATAATATTTCTTCTTAATTTAGAAATATAAACTATAGGAAGTTCATTGCCACAATAAAACATGGTTAATGAGAAAAGCTTTTTTTAAATATGCTATTTTAATAAGCAGATGGTCGTGTCAAAACCAGTTAATTAAATGTAAATAAATAAATAATTTCTTTTATGATTTATGATATGACAATGAAATGAACTGAAAGAATAATTTTCCAATAAACAACAAATTTTACATAGAACTATATTAGTTATTCTCACATTTCAAAACAATATATTTTTGAACTTTTAAGAAAGCAAAATTAAAAAAAATTGTCATTTGTAAAAATAGTCTTCTTCAAATATTGAGAAATTTTATATCTTTTACTTGTCTACAGTTTTTAGAGTATAGAAAAAAAAATCATCATTATATATTATGATAGTCGTGTCAATATTGAAAAGTATTTTTTTTATATCGGAATAGAATTTTCCAATAAATCACAAAATAATAAATTATTTTATTAATCTAGAAATCATTTTAAGTTGATTGATTATAGCTATGCAACAGACTAGAACTCAGATTCATTGTTTTGGAATTATTAAGCTAATTCTGACAGTGTCAAGTATTTACATGACTGCTCAAGCGTTTCTTGAGTTATGTAGATAATCACAATGGCACATTAAAGTACGATTAAATTTGAGTTTCGATACTTTTGAGCATTGTTGACGTTCTTTTAGAATGCCTGTAGCCAATTCTGAAATCTTTTCTATTGATTCATTTCGATTTTTGTTTTTCGGTAAACTTGAATTTGATCGAAAAATTAAAATATCGAAATATAAAAATGTCGAAAAAAAAACAAGGGAAAATGTCAAAAGACGTTGAGTGAGTATGGGAATGGAATAGAGATGGTTATTGTTTTAGTTTTATGATAAAGACCTCTTATTCAAGTATTAGATTTATAACAATTATAATTTGACAAAAAACAATTTCAACAGTAATAAAAGCTATGCAATACTGTCAGTGTCATCTTCCTTCTAATGCTCTAAACAATATCGTTATGATGTTCAATTTCCCTAAAGTCAAATAGTGCAAGTTTTTTTTCGATATTTTTATTTTCGACTTTTTAACCTTCAACGTTATTCCAATGAATCTTTTTTTCATTAATGATCTGAAACTAACCGAAATCAGAACTGATGCCGAACCCAGCTCATTCAACCACGAAGATTCAGGTTCAGTGAATGCTTAGCGAATTATAATTCTAAATACAATTCTATTAATAATATTAACTTATTTCCATATAGACAAGAAGAAAATGTGAAGTTAAAAAACAAACTTTCCTACTTCAATGTTTTTAATAGGAAAAAAACACTGCTATCGACTTTATCAACACAAAAATGAACTAAATTTCTCGATATAAAATAATTCTGAATATACTGATTGCATGTCTACTATTATCCAGCGGTGAATCCAAGAAAAAGACAAAGATGATAATTGCCTTCCGCTTTAAAATTTATACATACTATACCCTAAGTATCTTGGTATTTCTGTAAGATTTACAGAGATAAACAATGTGTATTTCTAACTATTTTTAAGTTTATAGTGCTTGCATTCTGAAGTGAGCAACTCCAGAGAAGGACAGCAACTTATATATGTTGAACATAGTGTTATTATTTGTATTAAATATTCTTTCTTTTATTAGATACGATTTCTATTCTTGTCAGACAATTGATGAGCGTTTGTAGAGTTTAGTATTGAAATAGCCAATGGTCATATTAACTATTCATTCTTGTTCGTTTTATCGATTATTAATAAGTATAGGATTCAATAAGAATATCTACGTAATTCTTCATGTTCCGGATAATGTTCAATGCAATGGTAACTTCTTCTCGACTATCGAAGTTCTTGTTTGCAAATTAATACAATGTTACCGGTGACAAAGATCACAGGCTGGCGAATACTTTTTTTTGATATTAAAGTTGATAAAATCATATCTTTAAAGTACCATAGGTAAAAATGATTTGAATGGATTATTTATGATATATGAGCATTCCATGATTCACATTGAAATCAAATAAATGCATTGACAACTTCTTAAAAACGAACAATTTATTGTATGATTTGTTTCTTATTTGGTTTTATTTTTATAGATTACAGCATAAATTAAAACAGTTGATAATACGACAGGTTAGCAATAATTTGTTCTCATCCGCCACTAGTATTGTCAACACATAATCTCTATGCTTCGAATGGAGAAGCCATTATTCGATATGTTGTTGTGGCAAATCCCTTCAGAAATCTTTGAATAACATGAAAGGTGCATAATATCAACATATATCTATTAGAATAATTTTTAAAATTTCTTTAATAACATTGTTATTTAATAGTTTTTCTTTTTTTATGAAAAATCATCTTTTCAATAAGTGCTGCCATCTAGTTTAGAGCACGATTAATTTTGTTCGCGCTTCCCTAAAGCAAGAACATGGTCACATTCCTTAGCAACCATTGCCTCAATCGATAGTATGTACGTAAAGCTTGCATGTTCTATGCCATAGCTTGTTGTTCGAAAGGTTGTTCGTCTATTCTTCTCTTTCTCTTTACGGGTGCGTGCGATTGTACGACAAGATATTAGGTTTCTCTTTTCCTCTTTCTCTCTCTGTCTCTCTCTCTCTCTGTCTTTCTTTCTTTCTCACCGCTTCTTATATAAATACAGCCACCATTTACTTGTGCTTCACTTTTCGTCGTCTTCGTAATTTGAAGTGAGTTCAAATGTAAATGTATGTCTATTGATTATTATAATACAATTTTTTTTGTATTCAATAGTTTCGAATATACAACATAAGCAACAATGACTGATCGTAAAGCTGTTATTAAAAATGCTGATATGTCAGAAGACATGCAACAAGATGCAGGTTACATATTATTATTTCTTTTATATCATAATTTATTTTAATTAAATATTTGATTTTTTTTTATCTAGTTGATATTGCAACCCAAGCACTTGAAAAATACAATATCGAAAAAGATATTGCCGCTTATATTAAAAAGGAATTCGATAAAAAATATAATCCAACATGGCATTGGTAAATTAATAATACATATGTAATTTTAATTTTATTTCTGTTGTTTTTTGTTTCTATATAGTATTGTCGGACGTAATTTTGGTTCATATGTAACTCATGAAACCAAACATTTCATTTACTTTTATTTGGGCCAAGTTGCTATATTACTCTTCAAATCAGGTTAAAAGACGAAACAAGAATTCTCACCGGACTTTATTCTTAGGCAGATTATCATTGTAAAAAACAAAAAGAATAAATATATTCTTGTTCATTATTTGTTCTTGCTATCTCATGTTTCTTTAATTCATGCATGTATGTGTGTGTATGCACGTGGTGGTTCTTTCTTTCTTTTTTTTTTTTTTGTTTCTTGTAACTATTATGTGAACTGATTTTGAGATGACTTATAAACAGAGCAAGCAAAAATGAACCTGAAAAAAAAAAATAAATTTCTTTTCTTGTTGATATTTTAATGAGAAAATGATTACCAACAAAAAACAAAGAACAAACCAATTCTAACAATCAAAATGTGATTTAGCTATCGTGTAGAATTCATTAACAATGAATTTGATTTAAACACACAAGAAAAAAATTCAAAGCTTTTACTTTTATGTTGCAATTTTTATTTCAATTAGATGGCCTTATTGATTATTTGGTATAAAACTTAGTTGCTCATTTGCACATAGAGAAAAAGTCAAGGCTGTGATGATTCAATTAATTGATCGACTATCTCAAGACTAAGTTTAATTAACGACTGCACAAAGCCCTTGAAAAATAGATGTGAAAACAGAAAAGATATACCATTGATTTTTTTTGTTAAATAATTTTTATTCATATTTATATTTCTCTTCACATTTAATTACAATGTGTTATTACCAATTTGAATTCATTTGTTAACAAGACACGACCTTTATCGAATACTTATTTAGTTTCTTGTTAATACATTCTCTTCAAGTTACATAGCCACTAATGTAATACACTTGAGATTACATAAATCTATAAAAACAATGTCCGGTTTTTCTTCTATAGCTAATAACAAAAGATGATTTTATTTTTCATGTCTTCTATAAGTTAATTTGATATTTATTTTAATTGCTTAATGAAGTTATTTGATTAAAGTTAAACCATACTGTAATAAACACACATGCACACATTGAAGCTACTAATATAGTTCAAAGTCAATTTAATAAAAATTTTCAAATACATTCAAATCATATTTTAACAATCGTTCACATCAATCTAAATATCTAAGCACATCAAATATCCAAATCATTAACAAACGCGATGATAAATTACATGCCGATGTGTGATCAAAGAACGGTGTACATATATAGATTTATAGGGGAAGACTTACTTTATCCAACAGTATGTATACTATCGAGTTCAGTTGCATACAATGAAAGAAAATTGAATTAAAAAAAAGCTGTCCATTTTTCACATATCTTAAGGAGACCCGTCTATACCGTTCAACAACCCACACTGTCTACTTGAATAACTTCGCTCGCTTTTCTTCATAGTCGAGTTATGATGTACTTTATAAAAGTTTTTAAAAAAACTCGACATATTTTTCATAATGATTTACACCCCGCAGTAATACTGATATTTCGCAATCTGTTGCCATAGGACTATGTCTACACAACAATGACACGTTTTGCATTGTATTTAATTTATTTTCGTGATTTTTATTAAAATGATTGTAGAATATTTTCTACCGAAAAAAAAAAACAAAGATAAAATATTCATATCACATTTTTTGTTTCAACTAGTTATTATTTTTTTTTTACGTTGTTTCATAATCGGATATCAGTAGTTTTTTCGTTTTAATAATTTTGAACTCATTGAGGTTTCCAAGCAGCTAGTTTTATGTTGATAATTGCTATTGGTGTCAGATGGACCTCGAAAAACGGCACTCCTCGCTTGCCATTGATATCTCACGTTTTTATTATTTTGAACCAAGTGTTTTAAATTGTCGTGAAATTCTATATAAATTTCTTTATATTATTCAACAAATGTAGTCTCTTTCATTTTTTGAAATTAAATATAACTTATGCAAATTGTTGAGTGAAAGATTCAATATTTTTTTTTATTGTAAAATTTTTTTTTTATATACTTGGTTAAATTTTAAGCTCTGTCGTGATACAATTCTTAATTTATAGTTTAAAACATATTGTCATTAATGAAGCCAATATCTACGAACTAAGCTGTAATCAAGAAGAAATTCTTGAACAGAATTACACAAGCGTTGTATACAAAGAGGTTTGTGCAAGAGGAATGAAGCAAGCCTTCAGTACGCCGAAGTAACAGTGAAGTATTGTACTTCACTCGTATTTCGAACTATTCAAGTCTCTCTTTTTCCCCTTGGGTATTTGGCAGTTTTAAATGTTACACTCAATAGTTTACTTAAAATGTCTGTAAGTTTTAGAAATAAAAGAGATAATATTTGTTAAACTAGATAGATCAATTTCACGGGAATTTTAAAAATTTGATTCTAACAGATTTAAACGCTGAGCAATATCGACGAAAAGTAAAAAGATTAGGATAATGTGTACAGTTAAATTAAATATATTTTGCGGTTAATGCATTTCTAAGAATTGGCATTAGAGTAACATGAGAAACTGTAAGGGAAGCAAGTGTCATGGACTTATTGCTAATTTATCCACTTATATGCAGAGTTTGTCTTGTGCAGACATAATAAAATAGGTTTTACAATATTCTAATTTTTCCTACGAGACTGTTCTACTTCTTTTCGTGATTTCAACAACAAATGTTGCAGTGACTCCTGATAATGCTACTTGAAACAGTATTTATAGTTTCATGTTTCGTAATTAGAGACTTATTTTAAATACGCGGAATATTATAGAGACTTCTTTGTTCATTACGAAATGATCTGTAGACTAATTCTATGCAACTTTATTTATTAATACTTTATTGAGACATAATAATGTAAAATTGCATATGTTATATTGAACTGTTGTTTGTTAGATCTTTTTTTATTGTCATTTCTTGAAGAAAGTGTACAAAAATGTTGACAATCAGATAGAAGTTTTTACAAAAAAAGATTCTGGAGAAAGCAGAGAATCTCAAAAATCAGTAGATACAATCAGTGAGTGCCAATACTAAACAATACTCGACCTTTTTTTTTTATTTTTTGAAGAGTAAATTGGTTTTTTATTAGCATTTTTTTTAATAATATTGTTTCCTGTTTCCTCTTCATCGGTTATTTCATAAAAGCAAAGAAATCTCTACAATATTCTGCGTATCTGAGATATATTTCAGATAGTTAAACATGAAACAATAATTACTATTTCAAGTATCATTATCAAAAATTTCTAAAGTTTATTTTTTTCCAACTTTTCAAAGTCACGTCATTACTCGCATATGAAGAAAAGTGAATTAGATTATGAAAGTAAGCAGTGTAGAATGTCGAACAGTATAGACATCATTCGATTAGATTCTGACTTGATTCTACATGATTTCGATTCTAGTATAGGAGACTCTCCTTAAAAAAAGTGACATTCATAATTTTGTCGAATTGAATTTTCTGGTATGATACACAACATGATTTGATAGTATATAGGGACCAAATCCTTCGTTAGCGACTAAAAAAAGGATATTGACTTTCACTTCATGTATTTTAGTTGAAAAAAGCTTCATCTTGAGACTACATAAAATCTTTATGAAAAGTTTGTTCTGAATATATCTTGATTTTTCATTAAAAAAAACGATTTACTTTTCGTTAGGGACGTGACGGAATGCAGTTATACAAACGAAAACATGCTCTTATAACTGAATGTGAATTTCAAACGGTACAAATCCTTCTTTAAAATCTCTAGATGATGGTAAGATAAAAATGTTTGTTCTGAAATTTGACAGGGTCTCTAGAAAGCTGGTTTTCAAGAAAAACTCTTTTTGGAATCCAATCTTGCTAAAAATTGTATCATGGAAGTCTTCATCTACAAATTCCTGTATATCCTTATAATTGCCTTTAAATCTACACGATCCGAATCTATTCAATACTTGATTATGTATATTTATAAATAAAACTTTCAAATCATAGTTCGGCACATATGTTAGTTTGTATGTTTTGATATATTTTCACATGTACACAAAGCACAAACATAAAAGAAAAAGAAATTGTTAATTAGGTATAGCCATTTGTGTTGCACATAATTCAAGAATATCTCCAGTTTTTAATTTCCAATTTTTAACATCTTTTGCAATTCGACACCATAATTCTCCATGTCTTGGTTCAACGCTAATACATTTTTGTTTAACATCGGCTTGTTGTTGTTCTGTTCCATGCATTAATTCAAATTTATAAAAAGCTGCCCAACAATCTCCATTATCTGTTTCAAGTTTAATTGTACGATTAAACCATTCACGTGCTTTATCAATACGACGTTCGGACCAAAATAATTTTGATACAGCCATTAATACATATGGATCATGTTCACATTTTTTTAAAGCATCAACACTTTTCGATTTACGTTGTGGACGTGCTTCCATAAATATTGCTTCAGCCCAAAGTATACCAGCTGATTGACATTCTTGCATACCTATAAAAAAAAACATAAAATATTTTTGTTTTTATGGTTTGATTAAGAATGATTTAAACTAACCTCGTGCAAGCATAACTTTAGCTTGCTGTACATTTCCAGCGTTCACTTCTAATCGAACACTAGTTAACCAAAGTTCAGGTGTCATTGGATTACGTAAACGAGCTTTTTCTAAATTTGCTCGAGCTTTAATTAATTGTCCATGATCAATTTCTAATTGAACTAAAAGTAACCATAATGGTATACTTGTTGGACATCGTTTTATTCCTTCTAAATAAGCTTCACGAGCACCATCGAAACCACTTGATCCTTGTTGAGCTGATATTTGTCCTTTCATCATCCATAATTTTGGAAAATTTCCATAAGTTTTTAATGCTTCTTCTAATAAGTCTTTCGCTGCTGGAAATTCATTTAAACACCAATGTAAACGAACAGATTTCATATAAACACGAGCTGTAGGTGCATGACTAAAAGCAAAAGAGGAAAAAATTTTTGTTTTCAAATAAATCTCAAAAAAAAAAAAACAACAATAATCAATTCTTACAGTCGAGCTTTTTTCAACAGGTTAAGTGCTTTTGTATATTCGTTATTTTCTGATTCAAGTTTAACAGCTGCAAGCCAAATTTCCTCAG